TTATTTTTAGTTTCAGTTTCTACTTTTTGACATACTTGACATTTGCATATTTAACCTTCTACATAGAATATTTATTCATTTGTTTTACACGTCATAGAACTTAATTAAATGCAAAGTAAGGTGGAGTGACTCATTGTTTATTGTATTATTTCAGACAACGACCCCTTGACTTGTAATAGGTTTGTGTCTAATTAAAATGCACAAAATAGCTAATTACTTAATCACGTACTTGACAAACCTACATAAATAAAAGTCAGGGTTCCATACTAAATAAGTACACAAGTTAAATAAACTCCATGGTGTAACTTCATTTTATCCTCGGTTGTCTAGCCGATTTATACACACCGCTTTATATCTGGTGGTCGCGGGTCCGATTCCCCACACGATACAAACATTTATATTGTGTTTTCTATATATAATAATATGTAACCCAGTACAATTTGCACAGAGCCATCTAGTCAACTGGATCAGGATACTACACAACTGAGATACATTTACTTTAGTACAATTTTGGTAAATACATATAAGTAATATAAGTAGAAAACACCCAAACCATTATAAACAGTTTTAACTGTAGTACAATTTACTCTAGTATTGAATACAATGTTTGTACCGGTCGAGTTAAACCGCTAGATTGCCATTTTCTATATATGTATATAACATATGTATTTACAAAAAAAAAATTTAGCAGGTACATGTTTCTATCAGTTGTTTAATACCCATAACATAAGTTTTGTTTAACTTTTGAGTAGATGACGCCGTGTGAATTTTCCAGAGTTACGTACTTACAAATTTAAAGGGCAAACATTTTATTATTTGTACGTTTCTTTATAATGTATAGACTAAAATATTTGACTGATAAATCAGTAATTATGTTAAAACATAATTAATCAACACATCGTTTGTGATATGTACTCTACACCTAAGTACTATGTACCTACTTAAATTGTTACACGTCCGTTCGAGTTTAAGGATAATACTACCACATTTCTCATGGTGATTCATATGAGAACAAAAATGTACCAATAAACCACGTGACCTAACATGGTAACTAGTTCCCATTACTAACAATCCTCTATTACTCTTCCTATTTATGTCAGAATACAATTTATATTAGTACCTATCTATTTCAGGATAATTAAGTATTAAGTACTTGACCCAACAGTTTTTTGTGTCAGTCATGTTTGAACTCACTACCTTGTGACAGAAAACGCTCAAGTAATTAATATTCAAATGCAATATATCAAGATACTAAGATTATTAGATTAATGGGAAGTTAACTTCGTACTATATGCGATCGCGTGGATCCCAGACAGCGGATGCAGTGTGCGTGCTTAATTAAGCAAAATAATTACTGTTGCTATATCAGATGTACTCGTAAATAGATGTAGGACATTATTATCTATCTATATCTGTACTCCCATGATTGCTATAGATGCATTGTCAATGGCAATATTGTGATGGTCAAAAACTTAGGCGGCGATAATCACTTATGCCGATGCCACTATTGGTGTGCCACAATAAATATAAAAAAAATCCTTATTCCATGGATTCACCGTGCCCGGCCATCGCGTAAGAGAGGGAAACTCCGAGCATTCCCGAGACTTGTTACCCGGGGGTATATTTTAGGTCTCTTTGGGTCTTTTCTCGTCTAAACAACTGACTATTTTTTTATAAATTTTGTTACTGAGATAGGACTTCGGCAAACGGCATGATACGTATATATTGTCGCCAAAATGAAACTTAAAGAGGGTAATAGCAGATGCATTTGTACATGTAGATATATAAAATTCGACATAACTCTCTCGACTGTACTTTTAACCATAATTAAAAAATATTACCTTAATTTAACTAATTAAGATACACAGAAATCGCGAGCGCCGGATATTTACATATACATTTTATAGAAAATAACTTCCTACAGATATTCACATGGAATATTTAAAAAACGAAGTTTCGGTAAAGTTGCACAGTGACACGGTGTGACGGGCGCGTAGGTAACTGTACTACTCGCTGCAGCTAATTAAAATGTTTAGCGGTGATCTGTGACGAGACCTCCGTGACAGTCAACCGAATAGGCTGTTGCAACACTAAATATCTTAACTGCTTAACTTAAACCGAGTTCACATATGTTTAGAGGTTAATAACTTCTGCCATAGGCAAAAAAAATTACATATGTCCTCGATTCATGATTTGTGAGGCGTGATACATAGTGTAACAAACTCACTTTTAACATTTACCTACGACCTCCTCCTAAACCCACCCTTGGACGGAACCGCAGCTCATATTCATTATGCTTCATAATATAACTACCTAAATGATTTTAGAAATTTTTCAGGAAATCAATCCGAGAGGAAAAGTTTAACGAAATTAGGAAATGTTAAGGGGTTTGAAAACATTTACTTGTTTATTGTAACTAAATTAACTCTTCTCTTTTAGTTATTGAAGTATGTTTGCAATTTATCTATTAAAAAAACTGATACCAAATCTTTCTTCATAATAAATAATCTCAGAAAAATTCACACACGCCATCTAGACCCAAGTTAATCCAGCTAAAGCTTGTGTTATGGGCACTAGATAACTAATACAAATATATAAATATATTTATCATAGAAAACGCCCAGACCTATACCTACAAACAATAATACAAATGTTTGTGCCGTGCGAGTAATCGAACTCGCGACCATCGGAAGTCGGTGTGCTAAACGGCTGGACCACCGAATCCGTCATAATATGAGTAGATATATTCCATATTAATGTGTTATTTTATTTGTACAAAATTTTTATTTATGGCGCTCCAGCCAGCTTGATTAAGAAACAAACATGTCTAGAATGTTTCACATGTATATTAATAATATACCACGTCATTTATTTTCCAAATTTGTTCCAAAAAAAACGGGCAAAGGGCGACACAAGTAACGTATAATAGAAGTTATTTGTTTACCTACTCAGAAAAATGTTTATTCATATTTTTCTTTACTTACAATTACCAACTATAATAATCTTCGCTGCTGATATAAATAAACTGTCAACAGAGGTGAGGTAAGCACTGATATTACTGATCAACAACTATTAATGACTATTTGCTCGAAGAATAAACCCGTATATATGTAACATATATACGAGTATAGTGTCCCCATTACTAGCAATGTATTTTGTTAGGTCGACCCCCACGCGTTTTCCCTGAAAACCATCATGATTAATTTTTGGTTATTTAATCACAATGGGCAAATTGACCCTGACTCTCATCTTATCTCATCTTATCATCCACCACTGGTGCTCCGCCAGCGTAAGCCCAATGGGGCCCAAATGGGTGCACCATTCCATTATCATCCATAAAAAAACATACAAATCAGTTTACATAGCATTTAACTATTATAGCTTCGAGTACTTTGGATTCCGCAGACACTAATTACAAAGTCGCTCGTCTAAGCACAATCAGTATTTTTCTTTGGGGCATCAATAGATAAAAAAATACACATTTGCGTAACACTATCGAATTAGAATATACTTTATTTGCAATATACAGTAAAGAAGAGAGTCGTATGTGTATTAGGAAATTTGATATTTGAGTAGGGTAAGTAAATAATAATAGAGTTACGTTACAATATTTAATTTAATTCCAGTCACATCCATAAATAATATATTACAATGTAAATAAGAACACTTTATGATTTCATGTCGTTTTATTACAATTGCGTTAGTCATAAAATAATGTTAATAATTAAAATGCCTTTATTCCATAACAAATTAAAATAAACAAAGTTTCTCAAACTTTGAGCGTTAATACTTTACAAAACGACAATATTTATACAACCTGGGGCTTTCATTACAGGTTTTATATATAAGAACCATTTGACAGTAGAAAATATAAAACCATTTTTTTCTCTCGAATGTGTCATACATACAACAAAACTTATATTTAAATCTGTTTACAATAAGAAACGCTTGAAACAGCGTTACACGATCGAGCCCCTTGCCTTATTGCCTATATGTTATGAACAATATAAGCAATATTATAAATAAAACAATTGCACTAAAGGTGGGTTTTTAAGTAATTCACCGCAACGGCCATAGTTCACATATGAATTGTCACAACTGAAACAAAACAAATTAATTTTTATATAAAAAGTGAATACAATAGCAAAACGTGTTGTGTATTTTATTAAGATTATTAAGATTTTTTACAAACTCGCTCTACTCGCTTCGCCATGTTCCGATATGAACAGTGAAATTTGGCAGTAAAACTATAATTTATAAATATACATTTATTAACTACAAATAGTGGGGGATGAGGATTGTTAGTAACGTGGACTAATATCCTCATTACTAGCAATGTACCACGTCAGGTTGATCTCCACGCGGTTTCTGCTGGAAACCATCATGATAAATTCCTAACTGACCTAAGTTCTGCTTATTTTATCATCCTCCACTGGTGCCTCGCCAGCGTAAACCGTTAGCGCAGGCGGGTACATCATTCCATTATCACCATTAAAAAACGAGAATTAGTAATATAGTACTTAAATATAATTTGTAGGTAATAATTTTTTGCAACACATCTAGGTATCCATTCTAATATTATAAATGCGACAATGTGTATTAGTCTCCCTGTATGTTTATTACCTTATCAAAATTAATCAGCTAAACGGATTTTAATTAAATTTGACATGAAGTTAGTTGATACCATAGTTCTTATGTATATAGGCCATACTCATACTAATTATGATCGATGCTCGTCATTTCGATTTCAAAAACCAAGGTCATCTGAGTGGGTACTTCAGTCTCGCCTAATTCTGCCGAATAGATTGCATCGTTTTCGGCTGTAGGGTGAGATTAGTTTATTTGAGTGACCACTATTCAATGCTTTTCTTGAGGCCCCCAAGTAGGCCGTCGTTGCCGAGAGACACCGTTATTATTAATCCGGGCGTGTTGGCATGTGTAGTTCCGTACCTGAGTGCGAGGTCCTAGCGTGCGTCCCGAGCGCGGGGCGCGGCCGAGTGTTAGGGGGGCGGCGCGAGGGGCACGAGCAGCGGCTCGCGGGGCCGCCGCGGGCGCCGCGTGGGCCCGCGCGGGGCCGCCGCCCGCAGCCGGGGCCGCCCCGGGCCCCGCCGCCCGCGCGACTCCCCGGGCTGCCCGCTCGACACTTCCAGGTTCTCCAGGGGCGCGTCCGATTCCAGTAGTGCAGCGCCTGAGTGATGAAATCAATGGAATAGAATACAAAATTATTTATTCGAATCAAATTACATTTATCCCGCATTCAGAAAGCCGTCTCATTAGAAGTAGAACGAGCAAGAAACTTGTGCTTTTTTTTTTCAATGTGTACATAGTCATGTACACATCGAGCCTTTTGATTCGAATAGATCGCAATTATTTAATGGAACGAGTTATATATTTTAAGAATATACTCATATCGGAAAGCTTACAATACACCGGTTAAAAATGACTAAGTAAAGAATTAATTGTATTCATTCACGTATATTTCAATAGTAAATAAACAAAAAAGTTTCGTCAATATCTGTGCGCGTCGCTTATACGTTTGCATGCTCTATAGTCTATCAGAAGTGTAGAGAAATACGCAAGATGAACATAAAAGCACACTGGCGTATCGATCTCCCGTTCAATTCACAGGGGATCACTTCGTAATTACGAACTCCTAGCGGTGTCAGACTAAAATCGTATTCGTCAGGCGGATGTTGGCTTTCATCCACTTCAAGCCGCTTAAGTTCCTCTGCGGGTTTGGAGTGCCATCTCTACTCGCCCCATCGCCATCTGTATCCGTATCCGTCTGTCCATTGAAGCTTTAAAGGCCGGCTGCGGCTGTATTAGAGTAGTCCGAAAAACAAACAATATGGTTTGGTTCGTACATACCCGCGGCGAGGGCGTCAGCGTCGCTGGGCGACGGTGCAGCGGAGGCGGACGCGGGCGAGACGGCGGCGGAGTCGGAGCGGCGGGACTGCGCGTGCCGCGAGCCCCGCGGGCGGCCCCGCCGGGCCCCGCGCGCCCCGCGGGCGGCCTGCGCGGGCCCCGCGCCGCCCCACGCCGCGCCCCACGGCCCGCCCCACGATCCGCCGCGCGTCGGCGGCGAGTACGCTGCCATCCGACATTACATTCATATATTAACTGCCTATAATAACACTCTTTCACACGTGTATAGTCTATCCACGCAGGAAAAATGTGCATGTAGACAAGGAGACCTTGCGCATTCACTTTAGCGCCATTTTTTAGTAATTAATTATCATTGCAAAATGGCGGAAGTCTGACAAAGAGCAAAAATATAATTATAGAGATTTTGATAATTTATAAATCTTACACGTATCTCTAGAAAATGTGAAATAAAACGTAAACTTTTAAAAGGAAGTGATTGTACATGAATCATTCATAAAAAAGAGTGATTTATCACACATAAAAAGTAACTACTCATTGCTCACGATTACCTGCGCTGGTTTTCCTGCGCTAAATCGCGGGCGCTACTAATCACGCATGAAAAAATGTATCATCTAAGAGCAGTTTCTACTTTAGTATTTGTATGTTTAACAAACAATTCTTCTTTTCAATAACCACAGTATTCGGTATCTACGCCACGCACAATAAAAACATTAATTATTTAATAACAACAAATAATTATGAGCATGTTTATTTCTGCTGATTGAGTTGAGAAAAGCATTTTTTTAATGAAAGGGAAAAATGACATTTTCTTTTATTTAAAAAAATGAAATGATATATGCTACGTAAATGATAATTTATAAGTATATTATTGTTATGGTACGGTGTTCCGTACATGGTATATTAGTAAATATTTATACAGCGATAATATCATTTTCTATATATAAAAAACAAATTAGTTTATTATGTATTTAGTTATATCGTATTTCTTTCCCGCAATACATTACATTAAAATAAAAGCTGCATCATCATATTTCGAAAAACAATCTCCTAAGTGAAGTAAATATAGAAAAATCAATTAAATTCTACTATTCTACTACTGATACATGTAGACTTTTCTTCGTCTAAGATAATGTAATAACTTACAGTTGGGTGTGGTAGACACCGAAGACACATCTAGTTCGGGTGGACTGTCGGCGGACGGCGAGGACTCTCGCGGCCTCTTCGTTTCACCCGCCGCGGCCTATCAAATAAACCATATACTAGTAGTCACACGTAACTTCGACTGCCTTTTTTAAATAAAAAATAACTTATCTCCGTCTACCTGTACAATGTATGATGATATACGTATGATATGCTTTTGATTATCATTTTCAGTCATCACCAATCAATAGATCTTTGCACAAGAGTTATAGTGATGATGGGTTCGGCATAACCACTAAATAAATGACACCAACGACTTTGGTATACAGTTTCATTATGAGTCTTTTCTATATAAATTTTTAATTCTACTTACCGATGGTATAATCCCCAATTTCCGTTTCCTTTCTTTGTCCTCCATAATTTTCTTCTCTTCGGATTTTTGGCGATCTGTCAGACATATAATTAAGTTAAACACACATTAACTCTTACATGCCTCTATTTAACATTTTGCTGAATATGAAATTTGCAGAAAGCCACGCTACGGCATTCACAGTCGTGGCACCAATAAAAGGTGATATGATAAATATGAAACCACGAAAGATATGAACTAAAATTATTTCCAACGGGAACCATTTGGAGATCAACCCGATTTGATACATTACTAAACTGAACCGCTAGTCTCCATTACTAATAATCCTCTATCGCCATTATACTAACATAAAAAAAACTTACATTTGAGTTCGATTTCCTCGTCGTCCAAAAGCAACGAGACCACTTCTTTTGGTTTCAGTGTATCAGGTTTAAAGTTACCACCACTTATCACCATTCTTTGGATCTGTAAAAATAAAAATAATATCTATAGACATAGCATTGACAAATGTATATATGAAAACCTACAGATAGTGGTTTTTTTATGTTTTTGTACATATAAAGATGATAATAATATAGTAACCTACTTACAGCCTATTGTAACAATCGCGCAACAATTAAGAAAAGTATGTATATAAAATATCCAGAACCATTTATAGATAAATTTAGCCTATACGGAGCACAAAATAAGAGGTATAATTACAATAGGTAAATTTATATTTTCTGCTGATTGCTGTATTGTATAGTACTTCTTTACAGTAAGTACAGTTCTTCAGCAGAATTTAATTTGGCTAATGGAATATAAGTTGTTACATTTTAACACACAATTTGTAAAGTAGTTCAAAAACAAAGATTCACTAGCTTGTAACTAACCTCGCTCTTCTCTCTGGCACGCTGCATGATTCGTTCCTCAATGGTACCCTTACATATTAGCCGGTAGACTGTCACCTGCTTGGTCTGTCCGAGTCGATGGGCTCGGTCCATAGCCTGCTGGTCCACTGTGGGGTTCCAATCCGAATCATAGAATATCACCTGCAAAAAATAAAATCTATTTTATCAAGGTATACTTTATACCAAATCATCTTGTCTCACCTACTTCAGCTGCCAAGCAGCTTACTTTAGAAACTGAGTTTTGGTTGAAAAGGCAGTTAAATTACGTATTAGGCTAAGACCTGTAAAAATAGATGTAAGTGTGGAAAATAAATAAATAAATAAATAAAAATTTAGAGGCATGACATCTTAGTCCTCCGAAATGGCAATGGATGAGTAGTGTCACTTAAGTCACATGATAATGTGATATCCGTAGTACTGTACATATATAGGAGTCAGTTAACATTTACAATGCGGTGACGACTTTTTTTTTTTTAAATAAACTCTACAAGTTTTTAGGACACAATAATCTCATTACTATCTTCCATCCATTATCCCATATTAAATAATAAATCAGAATAAATTAATTATTAAAAGTGAGTAAATGCAGCGTGCATGCTTCTTACGGTATAAAAAGATAAAATAAACACATTTCATACATCTTTTACTAAAACTAAAACGAACCTAATAAAAAAGGAAATACTCACAGTATCAGCGGCAGTTAAATTGATGCCGAGGCCGCCCGCACGTGTTGATAATAAGAACACGAATATATCTGCTCGAGCCTAAAGAAAAAAATGTACGTAAATATACGCATATTATATTAAAAAACAGTATTGAGTCTTGATAAATTAGCACATTTTGTAGTTTATCTTCAAAACTATTTCAAAATCAATGAAAAATCCAAAGCTTAGACAAAACTTTAACTTTTCGAAGTTTGAAAATTAGATTCCGAAACTCATAACCTCTTATAAATCACTTTGTAATTCTTTTTAAATTAATGTTCTGTCCCTTTCTTTAACATAAAGATGTTTGCATGATTATGTGCATGTTCAAGTCACGAAAAACCGACTTCCATCACATTATTAGAAATAACTCAAAAACTGTAGATTACATCATGATCACATTTAAATGGAATAATGAATAATTTCGATTATTTTTAATACAATAGTTTACCTGGGAAATTTTGTAATAATACAAAAATAAATACAGGCGAATTCGTACATCCTGCTCCGATTTTTGAAGCAAAAATACCCCATATATACTTTATTCCACTTTATGAACAATATGGAAGTTTAATATCTCAATATTATAAAAAAAATAATGTACCTGGAAATCAGCAACCATGTCCCGACGAGCTGATATCTTGCTGGAACCATCTAACCGCATGTACTTATGTTTGCGGTGCCACATGTACTCCTGTGCATAACATATTTACATATAATGTTAAGGCACTGTCTACGGAACCTTGTTATCATCAGGATTCAGGCTTATTTCTAAACATTATAGTATCAATCAAAAAGCAATGGATACAAAATTCAAAAATATAACAAGACAAAATTATAAATTCTATTTTACCAACAAATTTCATTTACTACTTTGTGCATAAAAAATTTAAAAATAAATTTAGATTAATTTTGAGATTTTAGAATTAACGCTATCACACAGAAAATATCAATTATTGACATAATTTTATATAATCATTGACTGACACGAGCAAATAAACAAAGAAAATCTTCAGCTTTCAATATTAGAATAGATTTCCATTGCATTACTATATATGGAGATTGATCAGGCAGCTAATGATAATCTTTATGGAGTTCCTGTATAAGATTTATCTTAGAAACCATAACCACAATAACTTTTGTAGTTTGTACAGGACAGTAAGGATTTTACGTACAAATTTATCGCCAGTTTTTACTTCATAATGTACACATACCTCTAATAAGTCGATCATCTTGGTCATCTGGCTGTAGATGAGCACTCTGTGACCACGCTCTTTCAGTCTCTTCAATAATGAATCTAATACAGTCAGCTTCCCGGCGTCACTTACTAGCTGGTTTTTATCTGTGAAGTGATATTTACTATGCAATTATATATAATAAGAGATAAAGTGTTTGTTTAAAGTTTACTGTAGAGTGTTTCAGTAGTGAAGCCTTTTTCAGTGGTCACGGGTAAAAGAAAGACAATTATTTATAAGTCCCACACTACAATAAAATCAATTACACTTTACTAAGAATACTATACTAAAGACATGCCTGTCAAATCATTGACCTAGGTGGTCATCTTAGGTCAGATCCTTAGGGTTCGCCTGAAAATCTCAACTTACAAGGTCGCATATTTAAAAAGATAAAAAACAGGTTTATCTGATAGTCTTATTAATAATTAGCAATTCGACGCGTACTCAAAATGCTTCAATTATTGCATCGAGCTCTAATTTTTATAAAGTAAAATACAACCCATGACCAACCCATAAAGATAATATTATTCTTTATCTAAATAAATATGACGGCGCCGGCGCATCTACTCCCTCTACGGCTAGCTGTCAATGTCAAGTGACAACCGAACGAGAGTGACAGATCGTGGTTGCTCTAGCGGAACGTACATAGTGTAGAGCGGCATCCGTCGATAGAATAGAAGACGCGGGATAACAAGATGGCGGGTGCAGCGATAGACTTACGTTACGAATCGCTAACGTTCGGATAGCCATAAGTGTGTGATTTAGCTCTGTGATTAAACTGTATTATTAAATTGTTACTCTGGACTAATGGACCTGTGTTGTTAACTGGACAATTGTGATTGAAGTGAATATACAATAGTGATTGAAAAATTAACAGTTATTTAATTACGCACGACCCGACCCACTTCCGCCCACAAGATGAATCCTTCTGATAAAGGCCCCTCCGATCCTTTAAATACTTCAGTGTCGAACAGTTGTTAAACAAATATTGGGCTCGTGCACAGCCGGTACGAGTTGCTAGTTTACTATAAAATTATTAGTGTTAAGATCCGGTTAACAATGTATTAAAACATCAAATTCTTTAAACATTAAATATTTTAAGTAAAAACAAAAATCGCTGGACAATACTCACCTGGCACTTGTAAAGAAGCCCATCCCCATGGAGGCCTGGCGGATGCCACCAACCTCGCCAGCGTGTCGCTCCCTGCAGAACACTCTCCATGCTGATGCCGTCTCACGTGATATGCAAAGTTTCTCGAAACCGCGAATGGGCAACGAGTGCTTGCGCATACCTGTTGAGATACAAGTTCAATTTGTATTAATTTTCAATACTACAATTAATTCTTGGGAAAATATTTAATTTAATTCATTTAATAAATTATTGAGAGAATATTTCATTAAACAAATTTTAAATTTAGTATTTTATTCAATATGCGTATATAGTAATTTCATTTGTAGATATGGTTTGCTTACAATTTATCAATTAGAAACTAAACGATTACATTAGTAAAAATTTTAAAGTTCTCAAAATATAAAGAGGTTTTTTGAAGTAAGAGTATTTTTATGAATTACGCAATGGATTTTAGTTTTTAGCAATAGACAGTGATTCAAGAGGAAGGTTTCTATATATACTACATGTACACCCGTGCCAAGGACAGGTAACTAGTAAAAGAAACTAAAAAGAGAATAAATAACTATGTGAAAAATTATAAAGCATGACGAAGAGTGATATGTTCACTCCTCGTCATGCTTTATAATTTTTCATACCATATGATGATATCACATAAAAAATATTAGGAAATTATGTCGACACAGAGAACACAAAATAAATTAAAACGAGGCTTATGACAAAAATGTTTATTTACCTTTTGCTGGACAGTGTACAAAAATGCGGGAAGCGTAGTGGGAACGTTAGCATAGAGTCGCGGCGGCCGCTCTACGTGTGGGAACTCTGCGAAAGTAGCGTCTGCTGTGGACACCGACATTACGCCACCTTCTTCCGTTTTAATTTCACTCAACATTTCCGTCTGTGAAAATAAATATAAATTTGTCTCTATTTTCTGCCATGAAAATCACATTTGCACGTGAGGTAAATATAAAAACGAACATATTAAATTTAATAGTAGTAACAGTTTTGGTATAAAAAGATATTTATTTCAAACATAAAGCGCCATCCGGGGATTTAATGGGTAAAAATATCACTAAGGGTGTCTCATCTCATAATGGTTCTGTTTTGAACATGTCCTCTTCTAAGTTTTTATCACTTCTTACGAAGCTAAGTACGACACAACCATCCAGTGGACTGCAATAGTAAACAGTACCCTCAATCATGCCAGCGCACGCATTTTAGTGGTGTAAGAGAGATCCTAAGATGTTATAAGTCTACTAATATACCACCGTGATAAAGAAAAACTATGTTCAACGTATTTTCACAAATAAGCATCTATCACTGACCTGTCCCTCCTTTTCCCTCATGTGTCTGGCCCGTAGTGCGCGATGTTCGACTGTTTCTTGCATATAATGTAACGTATGCTCTGTATGAGTGTATAACGGACCAGCTGTAACAAATTATATATCTGCATATCATAGAATTACAATAACTACCTTTACACGTACGCTCTTTTACGTGCGAATAGACTATACATCTCTTTGTCTACATTTACATGTACATACATGTAAATGTAGACAAAGAGGACGAGAAACACTGCATCATCATCATTGCAAAATGGACCTATTATTTAGTTTTAAAAACATTCACAGCATGTACATAGGTCATTATTTAGGTGCTAAGGCAATAGAAACTTGGAAAGAAAGTAGCAACATCTGTTTTTAAAGACTAATTTATATAAAAGGAAACATTACATACATTTTTGATATATTCAATCGCTAATATCATCATCATGGTAAATATATATCACAACAAATACTAGGCACCTAGGCAGGGTATGCAAATAGTTTCCTAGAATATATACTGTTGTATATATACTGGTATAAATACAATGATATAACATATATCATTGTATTTTGTAATTACCTTTATCCCATAAAGGATCTGTGAATAGCAACTCCCTCCACATCAAACTATCCTGTTTTCTTCGCTTCAAAGTATCCCCATCGGGACACACCAGCAATAAGTCTTTACATCTCACTCTATCATAATGGTCTGTGGGTACATCTGTCTCTATCACTTCCTGTTTTATATCACAACCATCGTTATTGTACCACCAACTATCTCTATGCCGCAGTTTTTCATATTTTTCAAGACATTGTTCTATATGCTGCATCCTGCATATAATGTAAACAAATTAACATGTTTAGCTTACACTATTATTAATTAAAGAGGAAAAATACCATAATTTGGATTAGTTATTTTTGGAGCGGGGGGAAGGTAATTGCTAATTATATGGACTAATAACCCCATAGCATGCAATGTATCATATCCGGTTGACCTTCACGTGGTTCCCCCTGAAACTTCTTGCAAATGGCATTTTACCAAGATGCGCAAAACTGACCTGACTCGCCTGTAGTGACCTAACTTTATACTCATTTAATCAGCCCCACTGTTGCCCCGCTAGCCTAAACCGTTAGCGCAGGCGGGGGCATAATTCCATTTATTCCATAAAAATTCGGAGCTATCTTTAATTATCATGGACATAATTTACAGCTACGCCTTTAGTTCAAGTTGCTTCCCATTATTTGGGGCAGCATGCCTTCCTCCGAAAACACATATCCTCCTACATATAGCAGTAAAATTACAGGGTACGGTCTCCATATCAATCTTATGTACATATCATATTAGTGCTGTGGCATTGTAATGCATTGAGGGGTATTATGGGTATAAGATGACGTAATGTGCATGGCGATCTTAAGTATATATAAAGGCGAGGATTACCGATTACTTTCATCCTATCTGACAATCCAGTTACAATGTAATGTAATGTAATGTATGTTGGACTCCAGTCTCCGCAATTAACCTCTCCATCCATTCCATTTTATCTACAAATTTTCCATTGTAACTCCATTCCAGTTACACATAAAAAAAAACAAAAAACTTAACTGAATACTTACGCATACAACCATCCACATAACATAACTCTAAACACCTCCATAGGAGACAGGTCGATGAATCTCAAAAAACTAAAACACTGACTATCAGCGTTTTCACTTATACTTCTATGCATATGCTCAGGTTGCAATATTGAAAATATATTATAAAGTAAATGGCGCTGCGATGGTATTGACCGTATCAATATACATTCTTCAGCAACCAACTTTGGCATGTGATAATCGTCAACTTGCATAGCAAATGGAGATCTCACGTCTCGCCTCTCGAACAATTCCGGATGATTGCAAACCTGAAGTATACGAAAACTGTTAGTGTGCATTGCTACGAACTAAAATGTTATACAATCCTAGTAACTTTACTGCCTTATGCAAACATAGGTGAGTCAATAAACTCTCGCATTAGGAATGAGAGCATTCTCATCAGTATAATTTCGTTAGCGGCGTATCAATATAATTAAAACTAAATTTTAATATTGTTAAATATTATTGTAATATAGCCTTGTTGGCTAATATTAAAATTTAGTTCAATTTATATTGAACTTTTAACTAAAAGGATATATAGCTAACAATAATATGAAGTACCTTTTCAAAAGTATATCCTTATAAAATTATTTAAAGACTGTTTCATCTATGAAACATTACTTAATTGATATATGTACATTGTAGCTTTGTAGCAATAAGATTTATTATAATAAATTACCTTTCTAAACTGCATAACTAAGTTCATTAAATTCGATGTGAAGTTCTTATCTACATTGTGGCCGGATTCAGCACCAACAGAATAATGGAGTAATTCTTCTATTTTAATTTTCTTTTTTAACGCTGAAATTTAAATTGTATTAGATTTTTTTTTTAATATCAATATTACCTAGGTATTTTCAAAACGTTGAGAATAATAAATTGTAATTGTATGTAAAAGTATAAAAAACTATATAGGTATAAGGAAATACCACAATTTCGCGTCCAATGAGAAAGTTCAGTGTGGGTAACATGATGACAAAAATATGATACAACTTGTAAAAATAGATAAATAAAGAAATATTCCGTGCCTCCGCTTAAAAGCCTAATAAAAAAAATGTCACAAATACACAATGTTCTTACCTATGTATAAAAGTTTTTGTCTAATAGTTAACGGACAATGCACCATAATTTCAATTTTATCTGATAACTCATTCTCTACGTCTTTCTTGATACGCCTCAACATAAATGGCTTCAATATCATATGTAATCTAGATAAATGTTCTGAAAATAAAACATAGTACATAAAGTTTCTACATACACAATCAAGTTAGTTGCATATATAGTAATACTTGAGATGTTCTTAAATGGTTAGTTAGTATATGTACTTAGTATATTTGTTAACTTACTCTCGTCTATAGTGCTTTTGTTTTCAGCATGGCTCTCTATATCCTTGGAAAACCACTCATTGAACTCCTCGTGTGAATCGAAAAGCGTCGGCATTATAAAGTGGAGTAAAGCCCACAGTTCAGCCATACTGTTCTGTATTGGTGTACCTATTAAACATGGTACCATATATATATAAATTGTTCACATTGTATGATAAAATACATATTGTATCTGTATGGTTGCATGACACTCCTACTTCTTATACACACACATTTTAAATGATGGATTGATGGATGTTTGTTACTCTTTCACGCAAAAACTACTAAACAGATTTTCATGAAACTTTACAGTAGTATAAAATACACATAGTACATAGGCTATAATTTAAAAAGATATTATTTAAAATGTATGAAATATAACGATAAATATCAAGTGTGATGCAGGGAAAGTTGCGCGGGTCAGCTAGTATTTGTTGTTAAAACGAAATTAAAATTATATATATACTATACAATATTTATTGTAGATAAACTCGGCAAGTATCTAAGTTCGTGCACGATACTACTCTAAATTAGTTAAATTGTTAATTTTAACTATATCAAACAGGCGACATAGTCACATAATTCAATCTCCAGAGTCTCCAAACGAGAAAAACAGGATTGAGATAGGTCCGAGAACTTTAAACAATATGGAATCTTAAATACAGAAAGTCAAATCTAGTCAAATGACATTAATATAAAAAAGTATATTTACTTACCAGAAAGCAGCAACCTGTTCCTACAGCTAAATCCAAGTAATAACTTCCACCTCATACTCGCTGAACTCTTTATAGCCTGCGCTTCATCTAATATCATGTACTGCCATGATACTCTGTTGAGGTACTTCAAATCGGATACAACAATTTGATATGAAGTGACGACGACGTGAAAGGCGGCTTGGGGCGTGTGAAGATCTTTACGCTCCCAGAATTGACGGAGGATTTTACGCTCACCAGGACTACCCCAGTATGGTACCTACAAGAAAGAATCTTTGTAAATATTTTCATTTTTATAAATTTTTATTTTTGTTTTGAAAAAATGTCTTATGGTAATATATTGGCTTATTATTCTGTTATTTCTTCAGTATAAATGTAAAATTTATAGTTTATGGAATGGTTAAAGTACCAGATTTATAGAAATTAAAATAAAGTTAAAACTTCTTATCAGTAGAATAAGTATTATCTCCACACACATAATAGTATAGAAAGTAGTCCATTTGGTGGACTATCAGCTTATTTACATTGTAGTTGTTCTAAATATCATATTATTTTAGTACTATCTTTCTAACATTTAACATTAACATTTATGTATATAAAAGTCAAGAAATTTCACTTCCAAAGAAGCCAAATGTTCTTATTTTTTATATTATTTATTATTTTATATCATTAATGTTTTCACTTTAACAACAATATTAAACTATATCCACACATATACCAATTCAGAACAAACATACAAACGCCATAATATGTTTGGAGTTATAATAAATTCTATAAATGTAACATTTAAGTACTTACAACTTTAAAATCTGGTACAAATCTTTGCATCTCCTGCTGCCAGTTGTGTAGCGTGGAGGCTGGTGATACGACCAGAAAGGGTCCCCAGACCCCTAGTCTCTCGGCGACATGGCACAAGAACGCTATACACTGCACAGTTTTGCCCAGACCCATCTCATCTGCTAGTATACCACTGATACCCTGTTTGACATTAGATATTATATATTTTACTACAATTACAACAAATGTTGAGAAAAGGCTACTGTGTACAATTAGTTAGTTAATTTTTAAGCCATATTCAAACATACTTCTGATTAATACAGAAGCTATAAATTTCACGCGCAGGACTAGTATATTATAAACGAGAAAGTTTGTGAGAAGGGAATCCCTACTTACAAACTTTCGCAGCACTTTTTCACGCAATAACTACTGAACGGATTTTGATAAAACTTTACAATAATATATCTTATACATCAGAATAAAACATAGGCTATAATTAAAAAAGATATTATGTAAATTGAGGGAAATATAGTGATATACATATAAATAATAATAATATAATAAGAACAACTTTTCAAACAACTGTATTTAAAATTGATATATTTAAGCGGGAGCGATATGCTAAATGGATAAATTATTTTCATTTTGACTTGACAGTGCTTTCATTATGTAATGCATATGAAATTGAAGGTGGTTTTGATAACCATTCCTGAAGAATATGATATTACACAGCTTCCAATAATCTGTTTACAACACAAATAAGCGGGTTAAGGTTACCGGAGCGTATTACTTCGTAGTTCTTAGTAACTTATTAAAAACTAAACATATCTACACTAGATGAAGCTCACCTGATCATATAAGTTTGCAAGCCAATTCATCCCCTTAAGCTGGTAACCCTTCAAAGTTCCTCTGAAAATAGAAGGTTGGTCATGATCACCGGCGCGACGATCGTTAGTATCCGTGGCCGGGTCTTCCCCGTGTGTGGTCTCACTGTCCGGGTGTTCCCCGTGCATGGCCGCGTTAGCCGCCGAGTCAAACTGTTGTGTGCGAGCTCTCTCTGCGCGAAATGCTTCGCGCGCATTGCGTGATGCTTGCAATTTCATTGCCTCGCTGATGAAAATAATACACAGTTATTATACATATTAAACAACAAATATTAATCAATCGATTTTTTACGGCCTCCTTATTACACTTACATTACTATTATATGTACTTAGAATATATATACATAATAAAAATGTTTCTTACATATAATATCTATATACATGTATACCGTCATGGCTAATTTCTCAGATGGGGTAGTTGGAGGCGTGGTCAACTGTCGGCGTTAGGTAAACATAATGTTTAGATTAAGATGCCTACATTTCGCGTAATAAATGGAATCCAATGTGGCAGGACCGATCACAACCGCCGTCGAATTAATTTAGTTTATTATTGGTGTTTCTTTCACCGGAAAGTTAGGTTTATAAATTGATGCAGAAGTTCTTTATGTCAGCAAGATTTGAACTCAGGGCATATTTGGTCGAAGTCGTACCAGTTAGAGTACGAAATTCTCTATATATTGTGTGTACTTATATAAAAAAAAATCAAACCTGTCGTAATGGTCAATAGTGGAAAGTCTCGGATCTCTATCCTCGTCTAGTTGTCTCAGTATATGATCAGCACCGTTGTCGCCCTCCTCGGCTGAGTTCAGCTTACGTTGCATAAAGTGCGCATATAATTCTGTTTGCGTTATTAAGAAGTTCAATTTCCTACGTTGTCGTTTGGCTTCCATTAGTTCTACATCCATCTGTGGCAATAAAAATCATATCTCACCTTAAAATTATTTAGGATTTAATGTATGCATGCCTTAACAGATAAAAGTAAAACTCATATAAGATTGAGGTTGATTAATTAATTGTTTAACAAAGAAACTTTACAAATTTAACTTTTTCCAGAGTTTAAAGTTTCTTATCTGTCTTCTTAGCTCAAAAGTATGCCGAACGGACGGTAGATTTGACATATCAAGAGTCTGTAATAGTCCTCTATTTGAATCGAACATATTTTGATTTTATTTGATTTGATAAAAAAAAATCTATACACAATTAACATGGTACTATTATCATAATACCTCTATGTATTAAAAAATACCAAAATTAAAAATAAATATGGTCGAAATCAGTTTCTTACCATTTGCGATAGCTGAAAACTTTGATCATAATAATTACCTACCATTATAACCCTTCTTTGCTTTACTCAAACAATACCTTAGCTGTAAAATTACAAAGTAAAAAAGAAATTCATGCACATAAGTTTTTAGGAAGTAAATAAATATAAAAAAATATTTGATATAAAAATCAAATAACAATACAGACCTTCCTTTGTTCCTCGGCTTCTCTTTCCATTCGCCGTCGAGTTTCTCTCTCGGCGCGATCATACCGCCGCCAGTAAGCTTGCATTTCGCGGCTTAATCTCTTACATCGCCATACTGTTTCTTTCATGTTCTTTTGAGACTATTGTAAGAAGACATAGGTAAAAATTATAATCTTTTATTAATTTATTACAGATATAGATTAAAATACATATGAAATAATAGTATAAATAGTGTTGTCTCTATAAATAAATATAACAAAATCACTTTAAGAGCCTGATAATATTCAAAAGATCAATTTAACTATACTATATATTTTACTATACTATTTATAGAAATGGCTATTAAGAACAAAATAAAGTCTTATTAAAATACATACAGTGAAAAATTACAAAATACGTCACCTGCATAGCGACATGTCTCCAATGTTTGCAGCACAAAGTGGCCAGTCGTTTCCTTTGCAGCATCACTTCCCTGTGCGTAGCCGTCCGCGCCCTCTGGACCTTGCCTAACTCCTTTTTGACTAGTAGCAACCAGTGTCGACGACGGCGGGCTGTTAAGGCCTCTGGACTTTTCAGTGTAGACAATTTCTTTCGACCCCTATTAATTGAAATGACTAATTTTAAACATATTTTTTATTAATATCAATCTAGGATATGTATTTATACCAAATTTCATTATAATCTGCCCAGTAGTTTTGTGAAAGGATAACAAACATACATACATGCTTAAAAATGTTGCAAATGTAATAGTAATTGCATAGATCAATTCTGACCAATAAGCTAAAGAGGTGACAAACTAAGCAATGTGACTGTAACTATCTATTCATACAAGTATGACCCATATCCTTATATCATCTAACTTGCTTTAAGTATATCTATTAACAAGAAAATATATAGGAGAAATGAAAGTCAATATGCTAAACCCCTAGACCACCGAAGCCGACAATAATATATTAATAATGACAGGTTATAATATATAATACCTATATTCAAATTAGTTATAGATTTAATAAGTTAAAATTGTATCTTATCCTTTTTTAAACCAATGATTTAATGAATATTATAAACATCTTATTGATAATAAGATTAAAAATAAGTGATGTAGGTAGATGATTTAAAAACTATAAAATTTAATAACAATTAAATTTACCTTACTCCCGGTTTATCAATATTGTACTCTTCACTCTCAGGTTCATGTTTTACATTCTTAATTAAAATTTGTTGGTCCCAATCAACATTCTCAGGCTGAAAAAGAAATTGTATACTTATACAAGAGCAAATAAATATTTACAATACATCAAAAATATTCTACAGATATCCACAATAAACCAAATTTAATTTCATGTATCAGAGATGGCAAACAAACTGATGGCCAACCTGATAATAAGTGGCAAACCCGCCTATATATATGAACAGCATTACAAAGTTTGTTATGTGACTCTGCATGTCCACATATATCTTAAACATTTTAGTTTAGCCATTGCCATTCCAGAAGACTAAGATATCATGCCCCTGTCTGACATTGTACTGCCTCACTCTTCAACCAAAATACAGCTTACAAACCAAACTGTTTGCTGGTTGAAATAAGTGAAACAGTGGAAGACATAAAATAATACTTATAAAGTAATTTGTGTAGGACAAATAACTTTATAAATATTCTTATTATGATAATAAGAATCCTATACAATTCACACAGCTATCTAGTAGCAAGCTAAGAAGATCTTGTGTTATGGGTACTAGACAGCTTATAGAAATACATACTTAATTTTTTTTTTGTAAATATATAGACTATATATACATAGAAAACACTCAGAGCAATACAATCAATCATACATATGAGTACAAATGTTTGCATCATGTGAGGTATTGAATCTGTGAATGTGTGAAGTAGGTGGCATGCTAAATCATTAGACCTTACTCATTACTCACATTTTCAACTTCAATGCCAGCCCTACTATCCCTTCCACGGCCTCTTCTAGCCTTGTGTACGCCTCTGGTTGCACCTCTTTCTGAAGGCCGACCCCTACGCCCTCTGGTGCTAGGTGGTGGAGGTGCCGGCCTACTGACTCGACGTTCAGGATAACGATCCACAGTAGATAGAAGACCAGCACCATAATACATGTATCGAGAATTCTGTAATAACACTTTGGACTAGTTATTTTTATCTACATATAATACAATATTATAAAATTTAAGAGGTAGACTTGATAAATTATAATAGGAAAAAATTCTCTTTGTCTTATTACATAAACTATGTACAATATTTTGAAACGAGAACAAGCCAGTTTGTTCTAAGTATAAAAAAAATATAACTATCAAGATTGGATATTTAATTTTTTAGTAATTGACATACATAATGAAGTATGAATTATACTTCAAAGTGCATATACATACATATACAACATAGAATCTTATCACTGGATTTGTAATTTGTTGGATTACAAGATGCTGATTTGTAAAAAAAATTAGACTATAGGCAGCTTTACTCTATAGTCCGAGAAATTCTAAGGTCCGACACTGCCCTGCAAAACATTTGTCAGATAACCGGGGGTCCACTGCATGAAATAACTCACCCCAGGATCTTTATAGTACTTCTTAGCATGTTTATTGTGATGATGTCTTTCTTTCAGCATCCTCTGTATTCTAATCTCCTTGCTCTCAGGAGTGTCATCTTCACTGTTGCTTTCTGAACTAGAGGATAATAGTATGTCACGTAACCATTCTCTCTCTTCCCCAACAGATGCTAAATTATAGAGTCGCAGGCGATCACTGTGGCGTTCTGGAATGTGATTTTAATAATAATAATACACTCACATTTTCTGCATGGTAAAAAGTACAACTAAGAAGATATTCCATCCATTCTAGTTTTCATTTCAATTGAAAGCAAAACACACCTTTGAGAAGATTTTATTTCTCCTTGAGTCTAGATACAAATGCATAACTATTCATATAGATATTTAATAAATTAATTGCTTTTTGACTAACCATTTGCTGCTACTATTTGAGTAGTAGAAATGTTAAAATTAGGAGTCAGATCGGTCCTCAACTAAGTTCGATGAATAATTACTTAGATCATTTGTATTCACTTTAGTATTGTGGACCTAAATGAAAAGTCCAATTGTATCAAAACAATAGTTTGGACAGAGCATAATTTGGTTAGTAAAAAGGTATCTTCTTACCTTCTTTAGTAGTAACAACCCCATGAATGACTCTGTCTCCTTTAGATAATTCATTTGCTGACTTAGAGTCAGAATCATCTTCACTCTCTGTCCCATCCTCTAGATTCAGGATCCTCTTCACTTGGTCAACAAATGGTCTAACATCTAAGGCGACCTCCAGTCTCTGAATGTGAATAGGTTTTGCCACCTCATGACGTTTAAGTGTCGTTTTACCCACAGCTGATTTCTCAGTCATTATATCAGGTCCTGAAACGAGGATATGAGTTGAAGAAACCATACGAGGTTCAAGCGATGCCGGTAAAGGTCATAGTTACTATATTTCATGGAAGGAGGAAACAAAATAGTAACGACAAAGTGTAAACAGCGACCACACTGTTACTATCACACAAGAATTGTGAAGAATTCCATAAGAATTTTGAGCCTCCAGGACATAATAGTACACAGTTGAACTTACCGCGTTGTTGTTATTCTCGCGTGATTACTTAACACCAAATTCCATAGCATTCACAAAATGGCGCACGGAAATATTCGGCAAATCGCTGTCAATGTCGCCGCTCGATGAGCAGCGCACATTAGTACTCATTTCGTATTTGAGCTTGAAAAAACACGAAACCGCCATAATTGAACAAGTTTGATAGTTCTACAAAATAATTCTGTTTACAATCATTGGTTGACAAAGTGAAAGCAACATTTTGAACCAATGGAAGTACATGATTCTATGTTTCCACCAATGAAAATATTGTGTCTATTATTAATATGGAAGCATAAATGAAAACAAAGCAGGGCTCAGGCGTTTGGGTGCGTTCAACATAGAATATTTTATACCATCTAGTCCCACGATAAGCAGAGCTTGTGTTATTGGTACTAGACACGTGATTTATATCTTACTTAGATATTTTTTGTAAATGCGTACATAATATACATAGAAAACACCCAGACTGATAAAAACAATCATACTCATGAATACATTAATGTTTCTACCGTGCGAGGAATCGAACCTGTGACAATCGGAAGTAAATCATTGAACTAAACCGCTAAACCACCGAGGCTGTCAATGAATAAATAATTGTCGATTAATAGATTCGAAAATCTTTTAATAAAATAATTAAATACATTAGCCTTGCCAGTCTATATAAAACATGTACTTATATTTTTGAAGCATGAGGAAAATTATTGAAGCTGTATTGTATATAACAAGTGACATTATCTTTTACTTCGGGGATTCTTAATAATGTGGATAACCACACTGCGAACTAGTACTGTCAGTTTAACTTCCACACGGTTCCCCTAGAAACCATCATCTTAAATTTCTGAATTTGCCATAATGACAAATTCGTTATCATCCTTTAATATCTTTTATTTTACTCTCACATTAACAAGGACTTTTATTTTAATGTATGACTCTATATGATCTTTATTTGATATTAGTTTTTTTGTTATTGACATTTTCGGATAAGGTTGCCAGGTCACCAAACCTAACAGACGGATAGACGAACCAGTTTGGCCGGATATTTGGGTAAAAAGGCTGGCCACTCTACAATATCTTGTTTAAATTTTGTGTCTTAGTATTAATAGGTACGACAAGAAAATGTATGTAAAATCAAACTTTTTTATTATTGACAAAAATCTTGTTAAATTCTAATGAAATATGAATAAAATTGAATGATAACTTTATTATTAATCAATCCAATAAAGTCTAAATACTAATATAAAACGAAGTAATAAAAAAAATCTAAAGAAAACTTCTGTTTCACTTAAATAATAAATTATTTATTTTTTTACAATAAGAATAATGTTAAAAAACGCCTAACAAAAACCGGACACCGTTTATTTCTGCACAACATGCAATAAAAAAAATAAAGGCTTACCGTTGCCAAGCATCCTGATATGCCTGGCAACGGTATTCTCGGCTAATTCATATTCTTCTTATAAAGAAAATATATTATGTGTGATATATTGTATATTACAGATAAAGTACACATTTTTTTTATTATAGTTTGATCATACCCATTTGTAACTTGGGTTTATTCATAATTTGTCATTTAACAGATACCTATTTCATCTAAAATTAAAAAAAAAACATGATATGCATTTGTGGGCGACATGTAGTATGAATGGACTGTATGCGTGATATAAATGAAACAATGGATAGAAAATGGTAAATACTTATAATAAAGGTATAAACAGTAGCAAGGCAAAAGTGACAATAAAGAATAAAACAATTCTATAAACGAAGAAAATACATTTAAAAATAGTACAAAAATATGCGAAGAGTTTGCAACAATATCTATTTTCAAATAAAATTTTAACACTATTAAATATGTTTGAAAAGGTGCAAAAGTTATGTAATTAGATTTTAGAAACAATTTTAGGAGTACGTGCTTTATTTTTGTAATATAAGCACAGAGAAAATTTATTTATATGTATATATTCCTCCTATGTCCTATTCAAAAGATTTTTGTTTTATTATGCTATATTCTATATTTATGTCTGCCCGTATATTTCATAATTATAAGCATGAATTAAAATTGACCTTTTGGTACATATTTAAGCAGGTTTTATAAAAAAATAGCGCAATACATTCTAAATTGTTCAATAATACTAAATTCTATATATATCTAAATTGTGCAATAGAAACACAAAAAAAACTCATTGGAAAAATTTGTTAAATAGTACCATATTTTAAATACCAAATTGCTATATATTTTATTCAGTGAAATAATCGGTATACTAAAATGACGATGTCACATCACTATTTATTCCGAAGCGTCACTTCGTTGCCAACATAAGTACAAAATTGATCCAAAAAATAAATGACTATTTAAGAAATAAAAAAATTACCCTGGTTTTTGGTACTAACTTGTTATTAAAATCTACTATATTTTATTATAATTTAATTTTTTTTCCAAGTAATAAACATTCTACTAATGTCCAAATCGATTTAAAAGGTTGTGTAAGCTAGTTGTCATGAACATCCGCAACCAATTGGCCGGGGGGGCAGACAGGTTAATTCCAAAATGGTGGTCGTTTGTTGTGCTTTCGAGTGTAGTGATTTGTAAAATTATTTAAGTAAGTAATTGTACTAAGAAATTATAATCTTGTTATGACCACATAACTGATTTATATAACTGTTTGTACATGGATATTTATCGGCGGTTATAAATTGAACTAATATATTACAAAAGAAGTGACACCCTTGAATTTTCAGATTTTCATTACTAATAACAAAGTAATTGTCTTTATTCTAGTTTATATACAATGTGAGGTTTAGCAGTAGTTTTAAATGTATACTTAAGCATTATAAATAACTAGAAACTGCATAATAAAAATAAGCGCGGGACCTAGTCCTAAACATATTTTGGCGTCATTTGTGTAGGATTCATGTTTATATTTTATATTCGACTTATTCTTATGGCTAAATATGTGCATTATAATGGTTTTAGTGTACAAAAATAATAAATAAATTGACTCAAAAATTTGTTACAACGAAATCTTATTTACTGCTTCAACATAACCTAAAAGGCGGCCCGCCGGCGTCGTCAATGTATTTTAATCAATTATAGTAACACGTCTGTTTTCATATAGTTTTCAGATGCACACAGTCTTTTAAACCAATGGTCAATTCCAATTAGATTGGAATTATGGATGAAAAGGAGCCTATATCTGAAAATTCGAATGAGGCTGGCACTGAAGCTCCTGACTACATAGCGGCAGATGATAAGCCTAGCGATGTAGATACAATGCTGAGATCGCCTAGCGATAAGGCGGAAAATGAGGAAACTGGTGATAGTCATGTAAAAAGTGATAGGGAATTGAATATAAATAATAGTAAAACAGAAAACAGTGAAGTTAGAGACAGTGAACTCCAAAACCATGTAGACCTTGCAAGTGATAGTGATAATGTTAAAGAAGTGAGTGAGTTAAACCAAGCCAAGACAGAGGATACAGAGTCTGAGCAGGATAGTCAAGGAGAGCCCAAAGACTATGGTATGTTGTTTATTTATATTTATTTTTTATTCTTATTATTGACATTATTATAAGAGATTATTATTTTGTTGTTAGGTAATTTTTTTATTGTATCTTATTACAAAATACAGCAATATTTATTTATTAAAAAAAGCACTATAATCTAATCTAATCTAATAAAATATAAAACTTCTTTCTGATGACATTCAGATATTGCACCCTTATAGGATGTTCATTTCCTCAAATCAATGTATTAAACTATCTCAAAACTAAATTTGTTATTCCCTACTACAATATAAAATTTTTTGGAAGCAGATTGTTTATTCTCACATAAGATACACTAGTGTAATACACATATTAGTATAAGTTAAACCTACTAGCTCTGGGAGCTAATAGGTTATAAAATTAAGCAAAGCCTGGGGCTGTGTCCGAGTGCTTATACCTTTGTATATATTAATACATTATATAGCCTATTTCAATTTGGAAAAAGTACCTTTCTTGACTGATGTCAAAGAATTTTCAAATCAGTGCAGTGGTTCTGATGTTTACTTTTAACAAATGATTTCAAAATTCAACAACAAATGTTAAATACTAAATGTATATACAGAAATCACATTATCTCTTAGTACTGATATAGAATACTGTTTGAATTCTGTCACATACTATAAATCAAGAATGATGTTACATATAACAAATAATAAATACAGTTGACAATTATATTACTGCAGATAAATCTCATGAAGAAAAGGAATCTGATGGGACTGTAGATAAGCAAGAAACAAATACAGAAGATATAGAGGATAAGTTAAAAGAAGAGTCAAACAGTCAAGATGGAATTAGTCAGGAATCTATAACTGAGGACAATGCTGAAAGTTCTCAGGAAAAGGAAGAGAAAAATGATAGTGATGTTGGAAAACCTGAATTTGAACATGCCCCTAATGTCTCCATGGATGAATCTGTAGAGGATCATTCACAGGTAACTTATTTTATATTTAGAAATTAATCAATAGAACATTTATTTTAAGTAATAAATATTAGTACAAAGCATTATAAGCCAATTGAACATAATTAAAAAAACATACAATTAGTTGGTTGGTGTAGTGCCTGCAACACTTTATGCATCTACATTTTGCTGAGTATATATTGAATCGGAATAATAAATTGTTTCAAGTAAATTTAAACTCCAATTTAATCTAACTTTCCTTATATTATGGACATGTGAAATTTATCTATTATATATACTAAGTATAAATGTATTATTTTAATTGCATCATAAAATATAATGTCCAAAGCATGCCTTTTTGTGATGATATTGGAGTTGAATAGATGTTTAACTTTTAAAAAATAAGTGATGTCTTTCATATTATGTATTCATGGTATATATATAATCATTTTTAAAATTATTGTAACATATTTGCAGTTATATATATTTTAATATATTTCCAGGCATTAGATCCCTTTGATGCTTTACTCAAAGACAAAAGTGATTCAGGCACAACTGAGGCAGCTCCAACAACATCACAAGCTGAATCTTCAACAGTGGTTGATGATGATGATGATGATGATGATCATAATGCAGATTTTGAAGGTGAACATGATGAGCACCAGCAAGGTCAGTTAATAATATTTATTGTTATCAAATTATGATTTGACTAATATACCTCCATTGCTAACAACCTTAACTCTAAATTATCAGGTCAAATGAAATATAAGATGTTTACATGTTTCAGATATGTAATAAATTTTTCTTTTAATTTAGTTTTATAAACATTTTAAATCCACATAAATAAATTATAAAATAATTTCTCATTTAACTCTCATGTTAACATTAGTCCTAATTACTATGCAATTTTTATACTAAACTAAGTAATAAGGAAGACATCGAAAAACATATAAATTAAATTTATGTATATTTTCTGGAAGTGACTCAATTTACAAACCTTTACCAACCAACTTTGTGCATAAGTAAACAAGTCACGTAGTAGTAACACAAATATATTTTCAGAAGATGCTTCACTTGATGATAGTGGCGTAACAGAGCCTGCTGACGAACCTGGAGCTGATGAAGAGGTTTGTTTGTTGCCTGACACTGAGAGAGAAATATCCGAGGCTGATAAAGCAGAAGCAGAGAAAGTACTGGCTGAGAAAAGAAGACAAGCTGAAGGTAAGAAGAAATTAGAAATAAATTACAATTTCATATTATACATATTTTGTAAATAGGTACATGCATATTATACATAGAAAAAACACCTAGATCAATACAAACAATCATCCTCACGAATACAGATGTTTGTACCTTGCGAAGAATCGAACCCGCGACCATCGGAATGGAAGGCGGTGCACTAAACTAATAGACCACAGTAGCCGTCAAATTAATTAAAAGATAAAGTCCTGCTGGCAGCGATCAATCTTAATCTAAAGCTAATATGGCGGTCAGCCCATGTTTATATATACCATACTAGCAGACTAGTTATTCTTTTTTAAGTTGCAGATCCATGGTATAATAATAATAAGCCTATAACTATATATGTATTACCAAACCTAACAGAAATTTGTACTTCCTATATTACCAACAACACATACAGAAACCAATAGAATAAAAAACTGTATTACCAAACCTAACAGAAATTTGTACTATTTGTATTGTATTTGTAGTTGAAAACTGTTATAAGAGTATATATACCTTTACATTATTATCTTATATCAGATATAATTTGTTTATTAGCCCAAGCAGTAGCAGTACCCAAGGAAGAGAATGAAGGAGTGGACAATGATGATAAAACAAGTAAAGATGCAACAGTTAACAGTGAGGATGCGGATCTTGAGCAAATGGACGTTGATACGGCCGCTGAAGACCCATCGCAAGAAAATGGTAGTGGTGGTAATAATTATAGAACCTTATCACTGATTCATTGAAGTTTCCTAATTATATTTGATCAGATTTAGAGAACACTAATGTCTTGTGTGAGACTTTTAGATGTTGTGTTGTTGTAACAGAATAGTTAAAAGCTACACTCACATAAACCATAACCATTATAGAATAAACAAGCCCAAATAATGGGATGAATGCAAGGCAATAATTATGAATGATGATTATCATACATACTAATTGATTGTGGCGTAATTATATGCTATATAATTACGCCAAACTGGTATAAAATAAAATCTATTTCTATCAAAGTATAATAAAAGTATTTCTTCATGCAATCTAACCTAGAACATAGTTAATTCTCAAGAAGTGTATTTACTATAAATAAGATAGTTTTTTTCAGGTTAACCATTTGGAAAAAACCATGCTTTAGTTTTTTGAGAAAATATCACTATAACAAAAATTATAATTTATAAGTGATAATTAAATTTCCGCCAATTTATTTATTCAATTGTAATTGCAGACAAAGAAAATGACATGGAAGAATCAATGGAGGTTGATAATTTAGTACCAAACACCATTCAAGAGATTAGTCCAATTGATGCTGCATGTATTCAATGTAAAAACGAGCAACCCTGTTCTTACCGGTTTGTTACTAAGGACAATAGCAGAAGTTACATTTGCACAGAACAGTGCATTAAAAACTTCCAAACAGAACATCCAGGACAATATACAATTACTCATAAAAAATATCTAATCGAGGAGATAGTCTCAAAAGTTTTAGTTTGTTCGGAATGTGAGGAAAAGAAAATTTGTTATTTCTATTACAACTATGATGGTGAAGACACTCATTATTGTTCGATGACGTGCTTAGAAAGTATGATGGCAGATGAAAAGGACAAATATACATTCAAGAGACGGAAAATTGTGATATCAGAAATCGACCCTGTGGATAATGAATGTTTTGTATGTAATGAAAACAAAAAGTGTTCCTACTCTATGATAAGATACGGTCTACAACATCTAATATGTGAATGTAAATGTATTAAAACATTAAATACGAGTGAAAATTATAGATATGCGGTAAAAAATAAAAGAAAACCACGAAATATCAATGCAACCACACAAGCACAAGCACAATCAAATCCGCCTTTGTTAAAATTAAAAGTTATTAGTAATGCTACAGACAAGTATTTAGACGAAGCTTATAAAATTCAGGCAAAGACCCCCGGCATGGTACAGGCTGCTAGAGAGGAAAGGGAGCGTACATTCATACGCAAATGTGTCCATTGCACTTTAATACTGGATATTGATGAGAAAATTGTCACTTGGGAGACCATGGACTTTTGTGATGAAATTTGTTTAGGAAGATATCAAAATAAAATAGGTTCGAGGTGCGCTAATTGCAAGAATGTAGTCCAACACACGAGTTTAGGAAAGTATTGCGTTAGATTCGGATATGATATCCGACAGTTTTGTAATTCGGGGTGCTTAGAGGAATTTAAGAAGGGTTTAAAAATATGTTGTTATTGTCAAAGAGATATATCAGCAGGGCACCAAGGTTTCCTAGCTCCAGTCGGTGATAAAGGCCAGTTTAAGGATTTCTGCTCTCAGAACTGCATGGAGAAGTTTGACCAGATGAATAAAAATACCGCAGCGCAGCTAGTATGGGCGAAGTGTGCCGTATGTTCTTTAGAAAAAGCTACATCAATTGAAGTGGAAGTTAATGATACTGTGACACAACGACTCTGCTCAGATCCATGTTTTGCTGCATTTAAATTTGTCAATAATATTTTTCCAGGTAATTTCCTTAATTTGTACTCGAATAGTCAAAGTTTATTTATGGTCCCTTACATATGTATATATAGCAATCTTCGATAAATGAGGTACTGAATGTATAATCAAAATCTTATGACAACTGCATGGTACGGGAGATTACTGGGAACATCTAAATTCACTTTACAAAGCTAACCTCATTATAATATTAGTATAAATAGTATTACAATAGACGCCTTTTATATTTCAGATCAGTGTCGCTGGTGCAAAAAGTATTTCGAACGCAAACAAAGCAAATGCTTTACTATCTACGACGGCAACACACCTAACTGTTTCTGTTCTAAATCCTGTATGAATGTGTACATAAGTAATTCTCGACATATAGTGCCATGTAACTGGTGCAAAGTTAAAAAGTATAATTTCGATATGATTAGGCGTGTCCAAACCAACGGCCAGGCGGTTATGATGTGCTCGCTCAATTGCTTGAATCTCTACCAGGTGTCTGTGAACGCAGTATCTTCTAGAAGGTAAGATATTCATGTAACATTGTCTAGTAACCCTTACCTGATTGTGTAATGACCCTTACCTCGATTTACATATTTCTCTTAATATTAGTATTCAGCTAAACATGAATGCCCATCTCTTTTTGCACAATCTATAAAGGTTTTATAAAATAATAATATAAACTCATATAGACTTACTTAAAATATAGATTTTGTGACGCAAATAATATTGTAATTTGAAACAGAATAAAGGTGAATTTTGTTTAACACACATATTGTAACAGCTATTATGTATTTTATAGCAATGATGAAGAGGTTAACACACTGAACTTACAATTTGTAATGCATTAGTTTTGAAAATCTTAAACTTTTATCTTAATTGCAGTATTTGAATTTACGGAGGGTAAAAAAAAACTCACAAAGTTATGGCCCCCATAAATTTTAGTCATAATATAGCCTTTATCAATCTGATTTTAGACAATTTTATATTATTAAGTTTGACTTTTTACCTAAGTTTATGGTAATATTTAAGATGTTTATTTCCATGCTATTAGGATACCTCTAATCCTGAATTATCTCATACTAATTTTTGGCAATAAATTTAAAAATGCAAGCAATAAAATTTCGTAAACAGAAATGTTATATGTTTGTGAACTGTTCATATTATTTTAGGACGAAATGTGACATGTGCAAACGGACATCTCTCGCGCAATATCATTTGACCATGTCGGATGCCACTGTTCGAAATTTTTGTACTTACCAGTGCGTAATGACATTCCAGGTATGTTATTATTATATTTCAAAATATTCTTAATTGTAATTTTGGAAACGAGATACGACCTTTTATGTATAAATATAACAATGGACCAGTCTAATATTGGTTTGACTAAAATACTAAATAAACTCTGTTGAACACATGATGTAAAAGTAGCATCTGTCACTTATGTACATGAACCAAAACCTCAGACATCACTTCGTCATGGAATTCTGCAATTCTGGAGTATTATGGTGGCATGCCTTCATATCCAGTCACTTCTTTACTGCTTCTTAGTATTCAAACCTTTTGGTTATACAAGCAAGCTGCTTGGTGGCAAAAATAGGTAAGACAGATGGCAACGATTACGGCTTTGTTGGTCTAGTGGTTTAGCACACCGTCTTAAGTCTTTCTTCCGATGGCCGCAAATTCCATTCCTGGGAAGTTCAAACATTCGTATTTTTAGTATGCTACACACTTGTATTGGTGTTTTCTATGTATTTTCATAAACATGTATTTAAGTATTTCTATCATATAGTATAGAGAAAGAAAAAAAAATATTTACACAAAAATAACTTAACATTCATAAGCAGCTAAAATTCCCTACATTAATAAATGATTTTAGATTTGATTTGATTTATCAGTTGTCTAGTACCTATAACACTGTTTCTGCTTAGCTCCGGAGTAGATGGCGCTGTGTGAAACGACCTGGGTTATTATTATTATCTATATTTGTTGTAGGGTCAATACTCTAAACATGCACCACCACTACTGCCCGGTGAACAAATAGACCAGGCTAAGGCTGTGCCCACGGGTGTGCCGCGGCGAACTTACTCAGCTAATAAAAATAACGGTAATAGTTTTAATTATGTATTCATATCGTCCACCATACTAATTAAATAAGTTTAAAGAGTATAATGTGTTGTCTCCGTAACCTGAAACTAGACTGCTGCATCCGTTTCAAATTGGAAAGTGCTTGCTAATTGAGCTGGTCAAAGAAATATGTGAATGTGAATACTACATAAACTATTTTTTAATCGTCAAATTTTGTTACAAATTTATAATAACTTACAATTATTTTACAGCGATACCGAAAGGACAACAACGGACCACCTTGCCGGTAATTTCGAATGTGCAGTCCTTGGCAGCACCTCCTCCGCTGATGCCATCGACACGTGCTAAGTCCAAACGTCTCGCACAGCCGCCCTCAGAGCCGGAACCCCCTCAAGCCCCAAAAACACCCCCTCCGCCCCCCAAACCGCCAACACCACCGCCCCCGCCGCCTCCTAAAATTTACAATCACGTTATAGTGAAAACACTTCCCCCCCAAGAAGTCGCAAATAAGGGTACTATGTCGAAACCAATGATGGTCTCCAAAGGAGTGTCTTGCCGTCCCCATCCTTGCACAAAAGAATGTCAAACAGATCCTAGTCTAGAGAGGCGGGTACTAATCCCAATTCCCGTACCTATATATGTACCAGTTCCTTGTGCTATGTGGTCATTACCATTCCCAGTCCCCGTGCCTATTCCACTGCCGATACCTACTCCTGTATTCATTCCGACCACCCGGAATTCAGCCAAGGGTATTATGAAGGAAATAAACAAGATCCACGATAAGATGCCGACAGATCCGTTTGAAGCAGAGCTGCTGATGATGGCGGAAATGGTGGCAGGTGATAAGAAGAAGGATCAGAGTGATTCAGACACGGACGACGATAATGGTAAGTGCGTTTACGTATTGTCTAGTATCCATGACACAAGTTCTGCTTAGCTTAGGAATAGATGGCGCTGTGTGGATTGTTCTGGAATATTATTATTATGTAATAACTACATTTATTTTGCGCATTCATTTTTATGGTTATCTAAATTAAACGCCTTAAAAGGTAAGCAGTACTTTGTGAGTGACTGATATAATTGGAACTTAATTTTTCCTGTGTATTGTAAAGCACATTAATAAATAAATAGTGCAGATTATAATATTAATTATAATGATATAAACAGTTAATATTATAATGTGCACTATTATGGTTGTGAATTTTTTTGTTTCTGTTTAATTCATAAATTTGTTCACCATTTCAAAGGTACATTATTCCAAATGGTTTATGTCCATCTGGAATTATATGTATTTTGTTCAACCTGTCCAAAGTCGTATACACTGATAGAAGATAGCCTTTATACGTACCGATATTTATTGCAATTAAAATTATTTTTGTAGAGGAAAGCTTCAGCCCAGTGGCAGGCATGGATGGCAATAATGCGTTTGGTGAAGACATGCTGCAAATGGCGTTGAAGATGGCCACAGAGTATGAAGACCAGCCTGTAGATTTGGAGTCTGCTATGACAGCGAATACTATAACGCCCAGCTCACATCCAGGAATGCCTGGTGAGTCCAAAGTTTCGATTTGATAGAAAGAAAGTATAGTCATCTTACTTTCTTACTAATGTTATAAACGCGGAAGTATGTGAGTGTGGATGTAAGGATGGATGTTTGATACTCTTTCACGCAGCTTATACATTAGAATAATACATAGGCACTAAATGTGAAACCGCAGACACAGCTAGTTGTGTATAAATGTTTACTGAGGTAGACATTTTATAAAGTTATCTGTGTGGATACTTGCTTTGTATGTTATGTTCTGTGTGTTACCAACAAATTTGTAATTTTGTTTTTGCTGCATAGTAAGATGATCAACATTATATAGTGTTACTTATAATTACTAATACTTATATTACTTATTACAATAAAGTGTGAAGTTACTGTTGCAGCACGCTGGATTGCGTGTTCTATTTCTCGCTTCTACTTTATCTTTACATACGCACTGTTTCCCACTTGAATGCCAACTAGCGCCGGTAAAAGCGTTTTACAATAGTGGCAAACAAGCATACGCCCCATTTGATGTAATAAAGTAAATGGTTTACAGTAACCATTTACTTTATTACATCAAATGGATTATATATTACGCCTACAGACGTCTAAAACACCAGGGGTGTCACGTGGGCGTTGCCGACCGTACGTACGTGTGAAGACATGTAATATGTGTATACATGTTCGGTGTCAGGTCTAGAAGGCGAGGGCATGCACCACCATCACATGATGGTGCTGGAGCAGCAGCGCGCGGTGGCGGCGCTGCGGGCGTCGTCGGGCGCGGCGGGCGTGGCGGGCGTGGCGGGCGTGACGGGCGTGGCGGGCGTGGCGGGCGTGGCGGGACGCAAGCGCGGCGCGGTGCCGGCGGCGGCGCGCCCCGCCAGGACCTCGAAGCGGCGCCGCGCCGAGCCCGCGCCGCCGCCGCAGCCCGACCCGCCGCGGGAGCCCGCGGAGAAGCCCGACGCTAACATGTGCTTGAAGGTACGGCTCACGGCTACAGTTGATTGCACGCACCTTATGGCACGGTCGGTGTCCGGAAGTAACTCAATTGTGTCGCTTTTTTGTCGTGGTAGTTCATATTATTGAAAGATACTACATTATATTTATAAAGTTACAAACCCGGCACTGAATAAACAGTGACTTATACTAAATATAAAGAAAAAAGTTATATAGAAGTTATTTTGTTACGATTTTAACGTCTCCCGTAAAATATACAAAAGTTTTCAGTATACTTAAATATTACTGCAAAAATTATGAGAATTTTTGCTATTTGTTTAACACTATAATTCCTTTCTTAATTATATACTAACTTATTTTTTTATTTTAAACCACATAAAAGGCTTTAGTGTATCACTAATATAAATATTACGAAAAGTGAGCTTGAATTTTGTTAGTGAACTCTGAAACCATTGCACTGATTTGAGTCGTCATTACACTATTCAAATAATACTTTCGGTTAAATTAATGTACATAAAACTCATAAAGTTTATATCAAATTAATTCGTTTTCATTTAACATAGTACTATGTTTTCAGTACACATTCGGAGTAAACGCATGGAAACAATGGGTGATGACGAAGAACGCGGAAATAGAGAAAAGCTCGATACGACGGAAACCATTCAAATCTGAAATACTACAACTTACGGCGGATGAATTAAACTACTCGCTGTGTCTGTTCGTCAAGGAAGTGCGGAAACCGAATGGCAGCGAGTACGCGCCAGATACGATATACTATCTGGTCTTAGGTATGATTTAATATGTTCTAAATGAGTTGTAATAGATTGCAAAATAAATTTCTATTACTCTCTATTTCACGATTAAATACTACAGATTAGTAAACTCTAAAGATTCCTATAAGGATACAATTGAAAACTTTAGAATTGAAATTATATCCTATCTTATTAACTAAAACATTACAACCACACGTGTACATTGTTAAAAATGATAATTTGGTTATCTATTATTAATGATTAATTCAAAGCAACTAATTCAATTTTAAAAATTGGTTCTTCTATGAAAATCTATTAGCAGGGATATAACGCTAGTAAAGGATAGGCAATTAAATTATAGATATTACGGAGGCATAACACGATAATTCTCAGTAATACCACTTGTATCATAATGTATATAGTAAAAATGATTTTAATGATGGTTATGCTATTAATGTATATGTATCACTTTTATCGCTTCGTGTGAACAGCTTCTTTACATTGTAATCAAGTTATGTAAGAAAATTAATTAATAATACTGTCTACATATATCTAATATATCTAACTGAGCCCATAGACATTATACTGTCTTAACTATGAATATTCGCATTGTCATTTATTAACTTTTCTAATCTTCCGAGTATTTTTTTATTTTTTCTTTCATAAGAACCTACTGACAATCACGTGTCTGCCGTAATGCACACGGCACAAGGGCAATAGTGATTCATTTTTTATAGATAACCTAAATATTATATTTACGCCAACATTTGATTGCAGGTATACAACAATATTTGTTCGAGAATGGTAGGATAGACAACATATTCACAGATCCATATTATGAGAAATTTACAGACTGTTTGGACGAAGTTGCTAGAAAGTTTTCAGTTTTATATAATGACTCCCGTAAGTATATTTCATTTGTATAATTTTCTTACATGAATGTTTTGAATATTTTCGTTATGCAAGAATTATTCATGTACTAAATAGAACATAATAGATATTCATAAGAGATTAATTACTAAGAAATTATACTCTTGTAAGATGTCATAGATGGCAAGTAAAGAAAAAGGAAAAACAAGTATATTTTACTCACTTAATAATTTTTATTTAACTCATATGTGAATGTTTTTAATGGCGAGACACCCAGTGAATGTGACTTGGTGATTGCTAGCTAATGGGGACAATATCCCCATTACTAACTCATCCCTAAGTTGGAGATTACTACCTATACATATGTAAAAACATATATGAAAATAATACTACTTGCTATCTGTATGGGGAAGATAAATTAACAATTTTTGGGGAATTCAGCAACGTAATAGAACCCAATGTTTGATAGATGTTTTGTTTGTTTGTCTGTGCATTTGTACGAGTAAATCTCAGAAATGGTTTAACCGATTTTCGTACAAATTTCAATGATGTATTCTGGTAAGATTTACTTAAAATGTGCTGTTTGTTTAATTCCAATCAGTTTCTATACAAAAGGTATATTATAAAATATACTATTGTTATTTCGAATATCACTGCTCAGCTAGTCAATAACTGTAATAAATGTTGTTTACACAGAATACATAGTAACGCGAGTAGAAGAAGAACACCTATGGGAGAGTAAACAGTTAGGAGCTCACTCTCCACACGTTCTGCTCTCAACCCTTATGTTCTTCAACACTAAGCACTTCAATTTAGTGGTAAGTGATCATATTATAAATGGAATATATTTTTAGTAAGTGGTAAACTCAGGCGGAGTTTTTATATATAAACAGCACTATGGACATAAGTTTCTTAGGTGACACCCGCAATAGCAGTTATGCGTTGCCATGTCAGTGATCTAAGACGTATTGTTACATTTACAGAAGACATAATGTAAAAAAATAAAGGAAAATATACTATTTAAGAATAAATTAACTTAAGAAAGTTCACAAAACTCGATCATGAATGTTTTCTTAAAATCTTAAAGTATTTAAAATTTAATTAAGAAATCTCGTAACATATAATATTGCATTCACAAGAAGTCGTTAGAAAAGTAGGACCTAAGGCCTCTGGAACTATGTATATTGTAATTTAATATAAATATTACACCATATTGTATTATTTATATATTATATTGTGTTATTATTATTGTATGTAAAAAATGTTCTGGAATCAAATTCCAAACATCGGTTGGTTTATCTAGAACATTCTTTCCCTACACTGGGCTAGAGTGTGGCTGATTGGATGTCAATTTCTTTGAAGAATTATAATTGTTACAGACAGTAGAGGAACATATGCAGTTATCATTTTCACACATAATGAAACATTGGAAACGGAATCCTAACCAGCCAGGGCAGGCAAAGATACCTGGCTCTAGGAATGTACTTTTACGTTTTTATCCCCCACAATCGGCGCTAGGTGAGTTTATAATCATTATTGCAGAATATTTTCGTCGTGGTCCGCCGTACAACATCTCGCCACTTCTCCCTTCTACTCGCTGCCATTCTGGTGCACTTGTGACCTGTAAAATATAACACTTTATTATTCCAATAGAAGTATAAGTTCTAATAAAATAATACATCATTATTCTGATATAAAATTAGTATTATTTTCATAATTAATTTATAAAATAGCCTGCATACTTTGAAAGGGGTTTCCCGCCGAATTTGTCTTATATACAACAATTCTTATTTTATCTACTTAATTTTTGGTATTATGAACGAAAAAACAATTAATTAATTTACTTCGCAGAAGCAAACTCAAGAAAAAAGAAAGTATATGAGCAGCAAGAAAACGAGGAGAATCCACTTCGTTGTCCTGTGAAATTATATGAATTTTATATATCAAAATGGTATGTTGAGAAGATAATTATCAACCTAAGTCACATTAATAGTAGTATAAATATAATAGAACCAAAATAAGACTTATCTTGTTTTGATGAGCAAATTCAAATACTCTTTTTGGTTGAAAGATTTGAAACAAGTACGTTTAAATACTCTTTTAGGATTAAGAGTTACGATAAAGGAGATAATATAAAAAACTACGCATGTAAATGTAAATTGGACTCTATTCTCCGCAATTAGTCTCACATCTGGTCCTTTACTAATAGTTACGTATAAGGGGTACCCATGCAGATAACTCTTAATAAAGTTTCGGTAAAAAGATATATTTTTAATACTGGTTTACTATTGCAGTCCGGAGTCGGTGCGCACTCGCAACGATGTGTTCTACCTACAGCCGGAGAGATCGTGCGTGCCCGACTCGCCTGTGTGGTACTCCACGCAGCCGCTCAGCCGCGCCGCACTTGCTAAGATGCTGCACCGCGTCAAAATGGTCAAAGAGATCAATATTGCGCTGCTCACTAGCTAAGGTTACTGTCAGTAGAAATAATAATTGTAACGTGTATATTTTTATGGTCTAAGCACAAGATTACATTACATATAGATAATAAAAATTATATAGACGTATATAAAAACCTCATATCAAAGTGTGCTTATCTAGCTCCCCCGAAACTGACGTTATTATTATTATTTTATTTGTGTATATTTGGTAGGTCTAAGAATAGGTTATAGGATATTTGATATACCCCTAGGTAATAAGGGTGACTCTAAAAAAAAATTCTATATCAAAACATATTTTGCCAGGTCAGTTATAATAAATACAGTATTTTGTACTTAAAAGTGTAACTTATAAACAAATGAATAACTTTTAGTGAATCTATACTAGTGTGTACTATTGAATCTATAGAATACTTAACGATAATACATAGTTTACAAAATATAAGTAATAAGCACTTACTGCGATCGCTGTACAATACAAACTTGCTTGCATAATGCATCAGTCTCTTTTTCTTTGCAATTTTTTATTTTCTGCAAATTTAAATAAGATCTGCTGTTTAAGCATCAAATTTGTAAATAACCAAACCAATGTTAAAATTGTAGGATTGTAACATGGTAAGTTTGGTTACAGATTTCACTGCATCGTCTGCTGAGCATTGGGACGCGGCGACGAAGCGGTTTCATATACACAAATCTTCACATGCCGTTCTTCAGGAAATATTTAGTTACTGCATGCAAAGTGTTACGACCATATGTTTTGCATAAACTCAGTAAACGCAATGATCGCAGTCACTTTATTGTTGTAAAGTTTATAACAATGTATATTTTTTCTACTTTGTATATCAGTCTGCGTGAGGACGGCGAAATATTAATTTTAATACATAGTCTATAAATAGATGTCTTTTTTTATAATGTTGCAATGTTTTAGATTTAAGATTTCTGTGCGGGACTGTTTATGTATGTACAGATATATTGGTAATTATTTGTCATTTATCGCTGCTATTTTATTTATAATTTTGTCTTCATATAGTTATATTTGAGGTACGAGTTGAAAACGATGAATTTATTTAAGCCCTTTTTATCAAAGGCCTGTGTTGGTTTGGGAAATTTTAAATTTGTATATATGTCAAACCGGCATGTTTTTTACAGCACGGGATACCAGTGACCTTAATCACTTTCCTCTGTGCCAGAAAAGATTTATTAATATTATTACAATTGTGTAATATGTATTTGAATATTAAAATTAAATACTAGATTAGGAAATAAGTGACAAATTCCATTTTTTTAGGAGATGCACTTTTGTGTTTATAGTAGCGTTAACTGTTCGTTTTATAAATCGGGAAACAATTTATAATATTCTCACAAATAGAAATTTTTATTAAAAAAATAATATAACTTAGTGAAAGAGTCAGATTCGTATTATATTTTAAGTATAATTACGTCAGCCGTAAGAATTAGGTTATGATGTGTAAAAACAATACTGATTCTCTAAGATTGTGTTTTATTTAAGATCTTGCGTCATAACCTTCCTAGCGGAATAAGAAACCGTTGTAAGTATATAAAAATATGATCAATGATCATCATTGAAGACCTGTCAAATAATTGTAATAGTAGAAACGAAGAATTAACATAAAGACTAAAAGGAGTCATGAAAAACTCCTTAAATGTGTTTCATGCTGATATTTCTAATCTAATATTAAAAATTACATTTTGTTACTGGAAGGTTACCTATTGTTCCTGGCCTACGCTGAAATCACATGGCAACACAGCGGCAAAAAAAAATTACGAACCGTAGATGAATGGCTCTATTTATGAATGTAACTAAGGTAATTGTTGTTCAGTCACAAATACGAACCAAAAAGTAATGTATTTAAAAATTACAAACAGAACAAAAAGGTATATTAAAAAATAAATCATTATTCTTTTGGTAAATAAAACCGGGTACCGCTAATGCCGATTGGATAATGTAATCTTGACCTTATTGTTCCGATAAGTTGGATGTTTATTATGCATCTGTTCAAAAAGTGAACTTTCCTAAGATCTCGTTCTCTCGTAAACATTGAAGCATTTGAGAGAAAAGGAAAGTATCTGTTAAACATATGGCTCGAAATGACATCGTATACAACAATACATTGGAATACATCCATCCAGTCCATCCACTTCTCATACCATAAATTCCGTAATTATGTAGGAAGTCAAATTTTGTTCGTCTATTGAAATAAATTGATTTTTTATTTTAATTTTAAAGCACTAACTCAAACCAAAAATATGAACATTAATTTCTCGTAATTTGTATTAATTTATTATTTATAGGTAACATGTAAAGTAGATCCTATAATTGTAGAAAAGTGTAAAAGAAATTAATTGAATCGGTGATTGAATACTTCTCGATCGCCATTATCATCTATTCATATTCTACAAGTTTCATTGAAGCGTTATTAAATTAACGGTGTAAAGTGTGTCAATGCGTACATCACGGAGTATCTTTTCTGAGGGCTCGTTTAGTATTTATTTGTAATAAAAACTTATTTTTCTTTTAATTTTGGCGGGAGTGCTGGCACGTTGTATGATCATTGTAGAACAGTAAAATCTGTCACCTGTCCCCCTGGCCTCGACGCCGATAGAGGTTTGTGTTTTAACGAGTCTGATCCGTAAAATTAACAGTGCAATAGTGAAATTCCTGGTGCGTGATCAATGTGGACGTACGACGATGTGTCACGAGTAAGTGTATCGGACATGGATAGCAGAAGAGCTTGCCCGAGTTACGAAGCCGGGTTTGACGCGTGCGATCCTCTGGGATCGGTGCTGGAGTGGTCAGGGCGGGGACCAGCGCGAGTGTTAAGGCGGCGCTGCCGCAGTGAAGGCGTCGATCGCTCTCCATATGAGGATGCAAGTCGGGATTCACACCGTTCCGCGGACGGCATACCTCGATTTAGGGCACTCTCAAACAAGAGCCACTTCACTTTAAGTAACTTAGGAGAAACCCATTTTGAGCGATTCAGACACGAGTGCTCCCTGCCTGCAGCCGAGAACGGTGACTACATCATGACCCATGAACAAAAAAAGTACTATGGGTAAGTGTAATTCATCAACATAACCTATAAATGTATTCAAATGAGTTATGTTGTGACAAATTGTATGTCAATTTTCTCTTATTAAAAACACTCAAACATATGTAACAAATAGTTTCTATATGTTAGTGTCATGTATAAAATATTTGTCTTCATATTTACCCTTAACAAATTATTCAATATAATAAATATTTAATTAATTTATAGTAAATTTTCAAGAGTAGTTGTAAAGTTTGTAAGTGTTTAAGTTTTGGTAATATATGCTATTGTAATACCCTATATAATTGAGTGTGTTTTGAAATATTTATGATAGAGTAATATTCATCAATACAAATGTTGTCAATTGTGCAGACATCAATTCTGTCACAGTGTTAACACACTTGTGTTAAATTACTTAGGCACTAAGATACTGTAGTATCTTTTCTGACTTGTATTACAAATTTTAGAGATAATAAGAGATAAATAGAATTATGGAGTGATATTTAAAGAGTATTAAAATTGTCAAGTAATAACTGAGAAATAACATATAAAATTATGCAATACTGATAAATTCTCAAAGACCATGTCGATAATATTGAATGTAATCTTAATTTTCTTTATACAATTTATAATGAAATTCCATGTTCACATAGATACCAGCCAGGAAGATCAAAATTTAGAATGAGTCCTAGCAGACCATTACTTGTAACAACATTATCAAACACAAAAATTGATGATAGCCGTCTTCCAAAAGTAGAAGAGCTACTAGAAAAAGTTGATACAGAGATGATGGAGGTCCAAGTTACTAAGCAACCATTGAAGTCAATACTCAATAATCCTTTACTAAAGTCACCACCTCAGGGTATACTAAAAAAACCTAAAAGTAGGTCATGCCAAGACTCTAAAATTAACTTGGAAGGTCGTCGGAGACAGCGGGCTTCCAGCGAGTCAGATAATCTATACTGCAACTTTCATGTTAGCAGTCCTATACCAGGATATGACAGGTTTGTTATAGGTTATGCACACATGTTCCACTGTAATATCTAATCAAAATGACTGATAATTGTTATGGAAAGCCAGTTATTGGTATGTATTAAATTCTCAACCAAATGATTGGCCAATATTTCAAGAGTTTGATACCACTATCATTTAATTACACATTGCATTCTTTAATCATTATTTTCATGTTTTGTATCTTTGTTCTCAAGAAAATAAAATCAAGATGGTTCAGTTGTCTTTTAGATTGTGTTGAGAAATGTAATTGATGTGTAAACATTATTCTAGTTTATTCTTATAAATATTGATTAATTGTGGAGTATACTTTTTATAGTTTTATTGTTAATATAAATTATTACCCTATCTTAAAATGTTAAAGAGGTGTTTATTATTTCATATTTACTTTATTATTATATTTTATTTATTATGACATACCAATTCTGTTTTTTTTTAAAGATACAATGGCTATGTTATAAATATCCATCTTTTTGGGTACTAGACATTTTAAATTTGTAATTTCTATTTCAAAAATGTTATTTTTCAGTCGATTGTCATATCTTTCCAACAATATGAAAAGAGCCAAAGATAATTCTGGAACAGGCTACTCATATGGTTCATTCGCCACACTCAATACCACACCAGTATCAAAAAGTCCACTAAACTACAGCAAGGGTATGAGGTGTACTTGCAAAGACCAAATCATAGTATCTTCCAAAGATGACATTAACGGTATCCACATCTTGAGAACAACAGCAATCAACAATGAGACAGTTGTTGGAGATGCGCCTGTGGTGGAAACTGTAAGTATTTCCTTTCATTTTCTGTTTTTGTTTACCATTAACTAGGAGTTCTATACAACTTGGTCTGGTTTGAACCATATGCATTGTAATACGTAATAAATAGCTAGCGAGGTAGCTTTCCATCAGGTGGGTTCACCATTCAAATTACTTTAAAATCTTTAAAAATGTGTGAATTTTGTTATATTGTACAATTGTTTTAGATACAACACCACTTTATATGTAGTTGTATTAAAAATATTATAGTGTATTTAGGATAAACACTCACAATATAGGGAGTCCCAGAGACAAAAATATATAAACCATTTTTTTAATGAATGAATTTAGAATTTTGTACCCATCTATGCTATATGTTGACCTAACAATGTATATTGCTGGCAAAGAGGTCCTTATTCCCCTCCTTCTTGACATTATGATGATTATGATTGTGTGGTTTTGAGATAAACTTGAAAAAATAATCTTCAAGATTATTTTAACTATCAGACTATGGAAAATGTCTTTAATCACCTAACAATATCACAGATGATGTCAAGTTAGTATACATTACATTTTCATAATATTAGTACAAGATAAAAATAGAGTGATAAAGTACTCTTCACAGTTAAGTAGTGTTGCTATAATGTCAAATATAGAGAAATAATATTAATTTTTTAAATGTTATAATTTCTCATTTCTTTTTTGTGTCTATGGGAGTCGAATTTTCGTTTATTTTATGAGATTTTGTACTATTTGTGATCTGAACACGATACTTTTCACTATGGTGGCTACCATTAGTTGGATTACTTGTTTCTTTACTAATTATACTAACTAAATTAAGTGCAATGACTGCTACTTTAAAGCTCTGACGATCCAAATTAAATATTATTGTAGTGTGTAGAGACTAATTTATTTCGGGCTATCCTACACATGATGATGGTGGAATAATATTAATAAGTAGGTTATAGTGATAGGCAGGCATTGAATAATATTCTATTATATTAGTAGTGAGTGTCGTAGCGATCTCTAGATCTGTCACGTTCTCTATATATTCAGTTTTGCCACTGTTCATATCTGTCTTCAACATGCTAGCTGTCCACTAGCTATGCTTATATGTTGCTAGCAACTCACCCTTGCTTCACACAGAATAAGAGATTTTTATGCTGTAAAATGAAGCCTATATTAAAAATAGCAATACATTGGTCAAAACTGAATTAAGTTCCATTCAGTAGTTTTTACGAGATGGGTGTACATACATATTGACAGACAAATAAAATGGTAAAAAAGTTTGTTTTGCTTTCTAATAAAGTTTAGCGGTTTTCGCAATGTTATAATAAATTGTATTATGTGTTTAGATAAACGGAACAGCTGTAAATATTGTATTGTACGTGAATGTATAACAATTAACAGATTGTAAAGACCAGTGAGAAATTAACGGTACTATTAATTTCACTCTGCTTTTGTTATTTGTACTGCCCACTCGTGCCATTTCTGTTACACAAGTATTTCAATTGTTTATATAACAATTTGTCTAGGCCGCATCATCGGCGGAATTCTAGGATATTTTTGGGTAGATGTGACGAAAGATGTTTTTACGGCATGATGACTTATTCGGTGTACGGTGACGTTGCTATACTTGTAGTGTGAGAGGAGGCCAATAGTGGCGATGACTAGAATACGTGCTCGTTAACGTTGTGGAATTTCATTATCAAAATGCGAAAAATCAAAAAAATGCTGAGGAGAATATGCCATTGTGTGAGTGAGGTTTGAAATATTTTTGTAGCAATGTCCGTTTGTTCTTAAGAAATGATATATAATTAAATGAGTTTTTAAAGAAGCCGGTCCTCAATTCAACTGTAATAAAGTGTATACCAAAGATTTTAAGTAGATTTTGATGATTACTTTTTTATAGAAACCATATACCCGTATTCGTCTCACAATACTTTTAATAACATGAAATCTGTTTTAATATCATTTCAGTCTTTTACGAAATTGTATTGATAATGTTGCTATTACAGTTTACTTTATTGCATGAAAAATTAATGGAAGATTTATAATTGACTGACATATTCTATGTGTTGTGTGTCAAACACATGGTCTTGGTATGAGTTTCAAGTAGTAGGCATACTTGAAAACCCATACCCGGACCACGTGTTTTTCTAATCTTGAATGTCTATTCCTGGCCATAGCAATAAGCAACTAGCTGAATATCTCGTTTATTGCGTAGGTGTCATATAGTAACTGGTTGCATCTCGATTAATATCTTCTTATTGTCTGGTTAATTCGGTACTCTTTAGATTTTATTACGGCTTCAATACACGAGACCTGGCGTATTGCCAAATTGTACAAAATGTCAATACGAATGTATTATCACTTTTGTACAGCACTGATCCGAGCCGTATCCGTTATTGCATGTCAATAAATATTAAAAATATAAAAATAGATACTGAACATTCTTTTCACATGTGAAAATTCTGTAAAATTAAACTGGCTATTCGACCGTGGTGTTCCAGTTAACAAATTGACCTTTGTAACTTCGGCCTTGACATGTTTTGTGCGGTTATATTTGAAAACAGTAAGCCGCACGTGTGAAGTTAAGAAAGTGCAGTTATAATGTGTTTTAAGAATACTTTAGTGGGTTGGTTGCCAACACCGTGAAATACGTCCGGAGCACCGGTATTACGGTGAATTCTTGTATTCAGCATGCTTCTTACACAATATTTTTTTTAGTAAACTGCATTTATATACTTACTATCTCCCTTATAAATTCTAAAACCTACATATACAACACACTAACTGTTACAGATATTTGACGTGCACGCTTCATCAAATAAAAAAAAAATTGCTAAAAACGGTAGGAAAATCCGTTTAATACCTACCTAGGTTATTAGTGCTATAGCATTTTTTTAATTAGATGCCATGTGTATTGTATACTGAGTAGGCAAGTACAGTGCATTTCAAAAAAATATTTGTTGTCGAAATGAAAACAATAAATATTTGTATATAAAATTATTTGTTTGTTTGTTAATGTACTGAATGTAATAAATAAGTAAGTGGTGTAAGAATGATAGTAGTTTATTATTGTCTGCATTTTTACTCTATCTCTAATCGATCAATCTAATTATTAAAAAAATATGATAGTATTATTATTTATTATGAATCATTATTATTATGTAAATCCAATAAATAAATGTCAATATTATTTATAAACAATACAAAAATTGGATTGTTATGAAAAATAACACCATTGTTTCAATACCGGATATGTAATTTACAACAACATATTAATAAGCTTTGATGAACTTCGAATGCTTTTTACGATTGTTAAAAATTTAAAACCTATGTGCATGGTTTAAAATTTTTAATAGTCGTAAAAACTCATTATTGTTTAGAATCGGATTTATTTAGTACTAGCTGCACCCGCGACTTTGTTCGCGGGGAATTTTATTTTATTTTTCTAAAATAAAAGTAGCCTAAGTTACTCCTTATTACATCAGCTACCTGTCAATAAAAGTCCCGTCAAAATCGGTCCAGCCATTTTAGAGATTAGGCGTAACAAACAGACAGACAGAAAAATATTGTAAAAAATGTTATTTTGGTGTATTTAGTAAAAAACTGTTATTTCAATATTACAAACAGACACTCACACAATTTTATTAATATGTATAGATTAATATTGTCTATTATTATTTAAAGCGTCAGCGGTGTTTTATTTACAATTTGCTCTACTATTACTACTTCACATCGCCTTTGGTTTTCATCGAAACCATGCATTACGTATGAGTTATGTATGAAATTATGTTTTGTATTATGCTATCAGTTAATAACTAATTTACTACGTATTAATATATATATATAATATAATTTCTTTAGGATGTATTTACTCGTGTTCACCACATAAATCATGACCACATGAGATTCACAAAATTGTTCATATTTAAAATCGGAATCATATCTAATCTAGCTGTACCCGCGGTATCACCCGCAAAATTTATAGCCTATGTGTTATTCTGATGTATAAGATATATTACTGGATAGTTTAATAAATATCCGTGCAGTAGTTTTTGCGTCAAAGAGTAACAAACACACATCCGTCCATGTATCCATCCATAAACTAAACTTTCGCATTTATAATATTAGAAAGATATCGTTGTTCCATCAACTAAGAACTAGTCTAGTAATTTAGGCTTATCGTTGTAATGGAAAGTTGTTATATTGATTTTTTATGGGACTATTATAACATAATGATCTTTTATACAGGGTCGTCAAGACACACCAACACCCACCTGCCCAGCCGTAAGTCCAGCGTTACCAGTGAGTTCAGTGACCGCAATACCTCAACCCAAGAAATCAGTGAAGACAGTCAAAAAGAAAATCAAGCCTAAAGTTAATGTTGGCAAGATGAAGTCTAATAGTAAAATAGTGTGCAGTGTTACAGAGGAGGCAGACGAGTTAGTATCTATATGCTATAACTTTTCTTATAATTACGTATCTTTCATCTCTAACACAGTAAGTGTAGTTATAATTAATTAGTCTAACCAAAGGAAATTATCTTTTTGGTCACCGTATATAGCAACAGATACGGTTACCACTGTCCATCGGGTGGGTTATTTGCCATTGCAATTAAAAAATATTTTTAAAATTAAGTCTACGGTTTAGATTTTTTAATACATTCAAACTACTTAAACACTTTAATTTAATAAAGATAGCGATTGGTAGTAACATGCGCGGGTTCGGGCTCTACTCGTCTGATTGTAGACGATTTTTAAATAATACACTCCGTGTTCATGATAGTTTGATAGAATAAATAAGAATATTTTTCATTTCAATATGTAAATTACCTTTGAACAACCCTCGCAGGCGAACACGACGATGTTACCCCCGAGTCTTTTCTATTTACATATTTATATGCTATTGTTTAGAAACAATTTCAAATACAAACTCTTTTATTTGCGAAGTATAATAATCTTGTTACAATGCACTTTGAAACGAATGCACTTTTTATGTTAGTATGCAAATGCACGAGCTTAGTTTATTTATTTGCCCAACTATCATCACAAGTCGTGACCCAATAGTGTAACTAATACTATATTATAACATATGTTCGGTAATGTAACATATAAGATACAATGTTGTTCTTGTGAATTCATATAGACTACACACAAACAAATCCTTTCTTTCTGGTATTTGATTGAGCGTGGCAATGCGAGCGTCAGCGGTGCCTTGTTTAGCAAGTCAATTCTGCGGCGAGGTATCGCTAGCAAGTTTACTTAGCTGCGCTAGGTGAGATATAGCAGTGAACATATATCACAAGATATGGAGGCATAACACCGCAGTTAACCGGAATAGTCACACATGAGTACCAATGACGGCATATGACAACGTGATATTTGTGATGCTGTTCATACATCTTCATTTCACGTAGTATAAAACAAAGCGACTTTCTAAACTTGATCTCGGCGACTTTGTAAACTTGTTATAGACAAGCTTAGAACTTTTATACTATGCAACGGATTTTAATGCAGTTTTCAACAATATTAGGTTATATGTATGATACATGCATATACTAGTACAAAAAACCTAGAAGTTAAAAAAAAATATGTAAAATGTATCTGTGTGAAGGAGTGGGTTGCTAGTAGACGGTAATTGCCATCGAGTGGACCGTCAGATTGGTTACTAATTCTGTTAAAAATAGCTCCAGAACTGTGAAAGCATGCATGTTTTTTTTACAGTGTACATAGCAGATCGCCCTCTCCAGACGCTATGGATGCATGGGCCATGGAAACAGACACTGCAATATCTGATATTGAAAAGCTAGACAAAATATCTTCTATACCTATTAGGGAAGAGTTAAATGAACACAATTCAGTTACTAAACTATCAAATAAATTAAATGGGACTGTTATACTACCTAAGAAAGTTCCATCTAAAGGTGAGTAGAATAAATATATTTTATAATAATTTATTTTTTAATAATTTACTTTTTAAACTCAACTTTAACTGTAATTTGTATATGGCTAAAGTTTTTTTAAGACTACATTAAAAATATAGGTAAGCTAACAGCTTTGTTTGATTGTGTACATTGTTTACAGCAAAGACGAACAAGGAACAAATGTTCATTACAGCATTACACACAACAAATCCTTTTAAATCGATACCAACACGCAAAGGTTACAATATAGAACACTATAATAATTTATCATAAGTTCATAAGTTTGCTCGTTAGTTTATATGCAAAGAAAACGCAACCAGACGTACTGCCACGTAATGAGGCATATAATTAGGGATAATTTCGTTTCGATTTATGCAAACGATAATGAATAATTTATAAAGTTTCATTGAAATCATTGCCGTATTCTAATACTTACTTTTTATTTACAATTTTATGGTAAAAAGATAACACTCATCAATAAATAATAAGTACTTAATTACAATAATGGGGACAGTCGTGGCACGGTTTGGTAATTATTTAGAAATGGTCTGGTTGCCTTTATCTTGATGTTATAACATTCATATTGATAGTACCTGTATAGTATTACTGATTATAGTATTTCATTAAACGAAAGAATATCTGCTAGAATTCCATTCATAGTATCATTTGATTTATATATGATTATTGTTTTATATTGGAAATCTAATAATAAAATGTAATTACAACTGATTTTAACAACAGTATTTTAATTATAATATTATGTACTTATTATAGCAGCGGTTTTGTGTTTGAAAATAAAAATACGGCCAAATTCAATTAAATACTTTTGTAGTTAGCAATTAAGATTAAAATTGCTATTTTTTAAATTTGTTAACATATAGTTGTATGTATCACTGCTTCCATCGTTATTGAGACCGATTTCTCCGTGATCCATTTTGTTTCTTATAAATAAACATTAGTATTAGTTAAAGTAATTTAGTAGATATGTACTCGTTAGTTCAGTCATATTTAAAATTCTCAACATAGATGATTTTTCAATAGTATATATAGTGCAATAGTGATAGTGTAATATTTTCTACTGACCTACCTTTTATAATTCTAAGCAACATCCTAAACAGCCTTGTCGATGCATACCCCTCTAGAAATGTTACACAAAGTCAAAGGTCAAGAAAAACGAGGATGTTTGACGTGTAGTTTAGAATCACGAAAGGGATTCATGCAAAAATTCAGCTTATCTTTATTTTTCCAAATGCAATCTCTTTATTCCAGGGATTAGAAGGTAACAAGTAAAAGTATGAAATACAGAATTTTCATTAGATGTAAATGTTAATGTAAAGCCAGCCAAGCCCCACCAGGAGGCTCAGAAGCTCCGTTGTTTTTACAAGCTTCACGGATATCTTTTCATGAGATGATTTTGTTTTTAGAATCTCCCCTTAATCTACCTGAGTCAATATCGAGTTGCTTGAGGCCATCCCTCTTCCCTCGAGTGCCACCCTATCTCAGGTTTGTTGGTCACGAAGACACACCACCCATCAAAATCCCCATGGCGATACAGAAGCATCTCAAGTGGAAACTGACGACAATAACGCCAATAGTTGTTAAGAAGACTTTAACCAATTCAGGGTTTAGATTGGTCAAGAGTGAGTGTGATACAGCTGAATGTCCACAGGAAGGTGAGTTTTATCAAAGTTACTGCAACATTATTTTTTAATGAATAAATAAAATGTAGGTAACTAAGTAAGTAAAGTAGCTAGCCGAACTGGACTGTAGGGATATTAATATAAAATATGGCGTGCACAAGAAGCCGAAAGGTCCTGTGTTAATAAATAATTTTGAATTCGAGTTTGAATGCATCAGAGTTGCAAATGTATTTATCCATGCAATACCAACAGAGAAGTTTCTACTGATTACAAAAAGAAATTGAATTCCTAACAGGTTTTAACTTCTTTATTTATTAATAATTTTTTCGCGTAACTTTCAAATAAAATAATGTGGAATTGAGAATTTTTGTACAATTTATATAATTTTATCACATTACAGAGACAGTAGAATGGATCGGGATATGGGGAAAGCATATGAAGTCATTGATGTTTAGAGCAATAAAAGATGGTCAGAAGATGAACCATTTTCCGGGTACATTCCAAATAGGGAGGAAGGACCGCTTGTGGCGGAACCTTCAGAAGCTGGCTGCCAAGTATGGAGTGAATGAGTTCGGGATAATGCCGAAGACTTACGTATTACCACATGACCTGAAATTATTGAAACACGATTGGGAAAAGCACGCCGCAAATAATGAAAAGTGGATTATTAAACCTGTAAGTCTAAACCATTGTCTGTAGACAGTTGCGGATTAGTCAATAGTAAGAGTAGCCAATGCTATGGGCCGCACACAATAATTCCTCTGTCTGAATATAATATACGAACAAAATAAAAATTGTTTAAATCTCAAACTTAAAAAACGAAACTAACTATGAACCATATGAAAAAAATTCCTAAATGTTTCGCGCTCATTTAATAGGCTCTGTCGTTAAAGTGTCTAAGAAATAATAAATAGTGTAAGGGATATGTATCGCGATAAAAGTGTTTGGATTTTTAATTGGTTCTTATTTAGACTATAGGATTTCACCAATATTCGTACAGGATGTTTCTCGTCGATAGAAATATAAAAGCGTTTATTTCCTTATTCAATTAAGACGAGGAAGTCGTACGATGCCGTGTCATTTAAAATAACATTCTACAATCGACTGTATGAATAGAATATGTATATAATGATATAGAAATGAATAGGTATGCCGTATGATAAGGTACTTGCTGGGAAGTAGGAGTGCGATTAAAGCTTGTTCTGTTTATATTGTGTATGTGTTTCCAAAAAATATATTTAAATATTTCTACCCATAATTGAGTGTAGGTAACACTAATGACTAATACGAGCTCTGCTTAGTTCACGGTCAAATATTGTATGTTGTTCATGATTATTTATTTATTTATCCTTGGTGTTTTTTAAATAAGTATTTTATTTACAGCCAGCGTCAGCGCGAGGTACAGGCATCAAAGTGGTGTCCCGTTGGACACAAATACCTAAGAAACGCCCCGTGGTGGTGCAACGGTATGTGTCGAAGCCGTACCTCATCAACGGGAACAAGTTCGATATGCGACTCTACGTGCTCGTCACGTCCGTGCACCCACTTAGGATATACTTGTATAAGGATGGACTTGCGAGATTCGCTTCAGGTATTTTTTTATAGATGATAATGGACTAATGGACCCGCCTGCGCTAGCGGTTTACGCTGGCGGGGCATCAGATGATAAGATGAATATGAGGTCAGGTTAGCCCATCGTGGTAAGTTCACCAGGTATTTATTACGATGGTTTCCAGAGGGACCGTGTGGACGTCAAACTGACATAGTACATTGCTAGCAATGCCATATTACTAACAATTTCTGTTTCGCTTCTGATATACTATTGTTTCACTACTTTTATGAATTTTGGTATATATCGAAATAGTATATATACATTATTCCAGAGTGGATATTCAACGAAGTGGACTTTATAGGAGTAGTATACGTGGGGTATCTCAGTCTTAGTTTAAAATTTGTTTTTATTTTATGTGTTGTTTAAAATTTAAACTTTTATTTATATTTTCTTTACAGTGAAATACAATGATGAGTTGACATCGTTGAACGATCGGTACATGCATTTGACTAACTACTCTATCAATAGACTATCTAAAAACTACACACCAAACGAAGATTTTGCGGCGTGCGAGGGACATAAGTGGTAAATACGATTTTACAACGATAATTATAAAAAGTGATTAGGAAAACTATCAAAGTATGAGTAATAGCGTAATATCAGTGCTAACATTAGTATTCTTGATAATATCAGCTATCATCTGAAAATATGAAATGCAGTTTTATATTTATGCTACATTTAGGTACTCATGAAAATAATTTAACAATTTTATATTTTGATTTGATTATGTTTAAATATCTATCCATGATATAATAAAAGCTGAAAAGTTTTTATTATATCATAGATAAGGTTTATTATGTTAAACAAAATTCAATGTTAATAAAATTGTACTAGTTCATTTCATTTACATTTTTGTATTCCAACAAATCACAATGCTAATTGTTATTGTTATCTTTTGCAGGACACTACAGACATTGTTCCACTATTTAAAGACTGAAAAGAATGTAGACACTGATGCACTGTGGGACTCATTGAAGGATCTGGTAATAAAAACAATAATATCGGGCGAAGCGAGTATCAGCTCACTGACTAAGGCCAACATCACATCTAGGTATAATTGTTACGAGTTGTTTGGTATTGATGTGCTGTTGGACGAAGATCTCAAGCCTTGGCTACTGGAGGTAAGGCAAATTTATGCGTTAAATTTATTTATGTAATTGGAAAGTAAGTGGCAACCATCGGTTATAAACAGTCAAAATAGTGTCATGAATACCTGGGATACCGGTGGGTTTCTTTATATTCGTGGGTTGGTCATTCCATTCACTCTTGGTTTACCATCCCTGAAGAATAATGTGTCATGCCTTGTATGCCAAATATTTGTTAAAGCACATGAATAGGGTTGGTCAAGCAGTTTAAAAAAAGAAAACCTGAATCACAAGTAACTAATAATGTATTTTTTGTGTATGAAATATGATATCTTCAATTTTGTACCAATTTTGGTGATTCTTTTTTGTAATATACGTGATTTATTGACGGAATAAGGAAAACTATTAGGACAATTCACACAGCGCCATTATATATATATTTTTTTCTAAATACAAATTTATTTCATATACAAAACACCTAGACTGATACAAACAATCATTTGTGTGCGACCATCGGATTTAAAGCGATGGGCTAAACCGCTAGACCATTGAGGCCGGCGTATGTATAATGACTAATTTATGGCGCGGTGGTGTATTGCAGGTGAATATCTCACCGAGTTTGCACAGCGCGTCTCCATTGGATATTCACGTGAAGGGTCCCCTCGTCTGCACAGTACTCAACATTGCACAGTTTCAAGTGCCGCTCAAGACCAACCTCGAGATGCTCTCTAAGGACAAACCTAATAAATTGGTAAGTTTCGACCTTTTTTACTCACTTAAGAATACAAATAATATTTATGTAAATAAACTTAATATAACATTACATATGTACATTTGAATAGTAATATGTTTTTTATTCTACTACTTATTCGGAAGAACCGTTTAAGTTTTCTGTACAAATTCTTATTATAATTTTTTAACTCTTCAATTTTATAAGCTTTTTTTACAAAGAAAGCGTTTTATACGACTATTGATTTTTTTTCAGTTAAGTAATTGAATTAGAATATAATAATTTCAGATAATAAATTAAGACGGCATATGTTCGCAATTCAATTTTGTATTTTTTTTGTGTATTAATGAGGTACCCTTTTCAGATTTTATTTTTTAATCAAAAGGTTTTTGTTTTTAATTTCTTGGAAGTCTACAGTCTATTCAATTTTGAAATGAAATAATCACTTAAAAATACTATTGTATACTATTTCAGGCTGGATTACCATATGATAGCAGATTATATACAATTTACTTATCAAAAGAAGAAAGAGACAAACATATTATTTATACAAATATGGAAGAAAGAGATATGGTGAGTAGTTAATATGTTTCTATATTTAATTTATTCTCTCATTGTAAATAATGAAATGGAATTATAGCTTCATTTTGTAACGACGCCGTCTCTTGAGACGAGTATGATCTCCCGCGGCGCCATTCCATTCTTCGTTCACGAATCTCCTCTAATTAAGATATTGTATGCAATAGTTGGCACACTTATAATATTTGATAGATAAAGCGTTTATTAGTTTGTTACAAAACTTTATATAATTCGATTTAACTCAAGAATAATTAATTTGTATCAACTGTAGCAATACAAAAGGTCATAATCTCAGTGTGAGATATAGCTAAATCATTTATTCACATAGGAAACCTGCCTTGCCTCTTGTTCACTTCACATTTATCACTAGTTCGGCTAGCTACTTCATTTGCGAAGAACTGGCAAGAAACTCAACTGGTACTTTTTTTATGTTAAGAGAGCGCAAAAGCTAAGAGAGCAAAACAGTGTATGTATCTGTAGTGACATGACGTTCAATGACGATGTCGACAGTACCTGCGAGACATCCTGTCGACGCTGACGCCCGATGACGTGAGGCATCTGCTGCAAGCAGAAGACGAGTTGACCCAAACGGCGGATATGCAGCGCGTGTTCCCCACGCCCCATTCCTACAAGTACTTGCCATATCTCGCCGGCCCGAGGTACTACAATCGTCTCTTCGACGCGTGGGAGGCCAGATATGCGAACAATAGGGAGCCAGGTCAGATACTCTTTGTACAAACTAACTAACTATGCGCGTTTTGTATATTTCCTTATTAATATATAAATAAAAACATGTCCGCGTTGGAATCCTAAACCACTGAAGTGATTTTGATGAAATATTATATGTTAGCTTGGTAGGTCTGAGAATAAGTTGTTATCAAAAATTTGTACCCCTAAGTAATAAGTGTGACCCATCCTAAAACGTGTTTATTTATTTTTTGACATGGGTTTTATAAGATGCGGCATTAAAAATACCACCCTAAATTTTAATCTTCTACCATCAACCCTTATTTTTTAATAATTATATTATTTTATATGGGAAAACAACGTTTGCCAGGTTACAGCTAGGATTAATTTAATATATAGGCTAGTTTGTATCTGTCTCTTTTTAATTTTGTCACAAGTAATTACTGGGAAACAGTTATATTATTGATATATGAGTTGGTAGCAAAATTATCTGCTAATAAATGATCACAACAATAATTTATTGGTAGAAAATATTTTTACCATCAGATACGATTTTATTAATTTAATTATTATATATATATTCTCAGAATCATAAATATTCGGCATCTCAATGGCTATATTGTCCGCAAATAAAGTGCAAAAATATTTTGTTATAGTCACTAGGTCATTTATACATAAAATAAATTAATAATGGACCCAAAATTCCTCCTTGTGGTATTCCAATGTTATTTACTTTATCGTGCTTACTTCTCTTTCCCACATATACTACAGTTATCTTCGACTAAATCGTTAACTATCCACCAGTCCAGTCTGTATAAAATGTATAAGAGTATGTAATTGTGTGTATATATTGTACAGGTATCGAGTTACTCCGCAACTTGTGCGACATCGGTTACCATCTCGAGGTGCCACCTGTTCCCCTCAAGGTAACTGTCACGTACACCCTCACCTCTGTATACAGGCGGTTAAGGCAACAGTGGCTTCATATGTTTCTAGCTTTTGTATCCCTCCTCCTCACTATATGCCGGGTTTGGTGACCTTGTTTAATACTTATATGTATATGGTATATTTGTTTGCAATTTTTTATTATTTGAATATAATGTTGAATTTTTTATTATATGGTTTTGGTTTAAAGTTCAAAAATGTTTAAACTTGTGTATTATGTAAAAAAAAATGGTATTTTATCTTAAATACTGAAATTTTATGGTCCATTTCACAATTTCTTGGGGTAATCATACTATATAAACATTTATTTTTACTGAAATGCTCATTGAGAGCTTTTGGGTAACTGTTTGCTCTTTTAAGTCTATTATCACAACCACTTAAATATTGGTATATATGGGTTATTTTTTGCAATTACGTTTCTCTGTATAATTAAAAGTTGCAAACGAATCATATAAACAAATTTATATATTTATTTATTGTTGAATTAATTTTTGTGTTCATTTTGTTATATATATGTTATAAAGAAAATTAATATTATAGGTATTTGACATAACTTATTCAAGATTGTAGGTAGGTAGGTTCTGAAAGCTCGTTTTTTTACACTGCCATAGGATTATATCAATAAACGGATAGGTTTCGAATGAAGGATTCTTGTGAATTGCAGGGCAAGACTGGAGTTAGTGTGGTGAGAATCATTTATGTTAATATAGCATGTTTCTTCTCACACTTAGTAATTTTCTTACATATTCATCTTAAATATATTAAACAAAAATGATACTTCAGTTGTAATTTTTCATATAATGTTTAATAATTATGATCAATTTATGTAAATTAATTGATTCTTAAACATTCTTCTTCATAACTGTAACCATTGACATTCCAAAGAATTTACGTTATATGTTATGTAGCTCAAAATTTAACCTTTATTAACATTTCTTATTCTCCACTAGGCAAATATGTACACAGCAGCACTATTTTATTTATACATGTAAAGAGTTGTCTGGTGGGGATAGATCTTTTACAAATTATTTTTTCGATATTTTTCTCAAAATTTTAATCAATTAACAATTTTATGAATAATTTCATTTATGTTAATAACATAGCTTTATAATGTTTCTGGATCGCAATAGCGAATGGAATGTCATTTGTTATAAATTTACTTTATTTTAATTTGAATAAATTTTACAAAAGAAAATAGTCATATTTTAAAGTTTTGTTAAATTAATATTTTTTGCACGGTAATAGTTACTTCGGTGTCTGGCCATTTTCATTTTGTCTTATCAAAATGGCCAGTATTAATAATTTTCAAAGTTCATAGACAAATATTATAATATTGGTATGTGGCTGGTTTGTCAGGGCAAAGTGACAAGCGCGCTCAGGCGTGCCTACTTGGGTTGTAAGCAGGTCGCTCACAGTAAGTGCGTAGAACGGAACGCGGCCAGAAAGACCGTGGCGCCACGAATCTTCGTCGATTTAGTGTTAACCCTGTAACAGACGGAGTGCTAGACGTAATAGAAGATCGATTTAGGATGTTCCCGCTTGTGCACTGAATCGGATTGATGCAAATGAAACTTTAAATTAGTCGCTCTAATAGTATTCTTAATGTATCTTGTTACATAGTGAGTAAGATTAAAAATAGTGGCTAATGTAGAAATAGCATTTAAGGTCGAAAATAGTTTGTTCCGGTTGTTTAATACTAACCGTATATTTTTAAACTTATAAGTGCCTTTGCCTCAGATGTATATTTAATATAATATATCCAGCCGATTCGGAGCACGTATGAGGGTTTTAGCGTTCGTCGTTGGCTAGCCGTTGTGTCATGTCATAGCTAGTCGGTAATAGTGAAATATTTTTATAAAATAGATTTTTCCTAGAATAAATATGATGCTATTTAAATGTAATCGTACTGCTCGGATACAAAAAATTATAATATTTACATAGAGAAATAAAAATATTTATGTGTTAGAGAGAAATATTTTATATTACAAAGTTTATAATTACTAAAGCATGGTAACAATGAATTTACTAGAAAAGGTGCCTTATATTCTTAACTATTTTACAGAAATGTCTATAGATGTTGGTTAGAAGCGTAATATAATGTATGTTTTATATATTTTTATATTAAATGTTGTTGTATTGTTGTATAGGTTATATCTGTGAAGTTAGTAACTTATTGATTATTTTGGTACTAGGGACGACTCCGTTGTTAAAGGTAACATTAAACATCATATTTTGATTACATATCATTATAATATAATAGTATGATTGATGTATGGCCAAAATATATTATGTCGAAGTAGTTAATTTATATACAATACATTAGATTAGATAATTTCAGAATATTGTTCGTTATTATCCTATATGTAGCTAAGTATTGTTATTATTATAAGATATTGCTTATTGTAAATAAATTTTACACATTTAATTATCAGGAATATAATAGAAGTAAAATACTACGTACAGTAATTTAACATATTTAGTTAATGTTATTATTATTATATTTAATTATTATTAGCATTATATATTAAGCTTTTTAATTTATATATATTCTCAATATTCCTATATTTCCAATCTAATTCGCTTCTAACTTTACACGCTTTAACTAGACGAGGTCTAACAGTTCTCTTGCATGATATGTTAATATTTTACCCAACTGCTTAGCTATATCATAACTGACAAGTAATTTAATTATTACTGAAAAGTAATTCAATTTTATCATTCATGTGTTTTTATCCTATCCAATCTTTTTAATATTCATTCCGTTTTTTAGTAGCTACTTATTATTTCTTTAGTTTATTATTCGCTTATTCACTCTAATTAAACCATAATGGCTTCGTTATTAGCATTTTGTTTCAAGCAGGAGGTGTATTGTAAATAATTATAATTTAATATACAAGCATGCATTGCCACAAACCCATGTGTGACGGGTGTGACCCAAATGCACCAATCAGGGCTCTTGTTTGTCTAAATACAGGACTATAGCGATAAAAGTTAACAAAAGAGATGATCAAATACCCAATAATTGCGGAGGTGACACTAGCAAACTATTGTTTGTTTGGTTTCTGTTACATTTTATCGCTGTGGACATGAAATTATGAATAGTCTTTTGACAACTAGCACAACAGCAGCATATCTGTCTTTTCATAAAGATTAACAAGAGCCCACCCACTACTCGCAAAAGTGCTGATTACCAAACAAATGCTTCACATCTTAACAATATGATATCTTAAATCCATCCTTTGCTCTCAGACGTCTGAAGTCTTCATCGGTTTCTACATTAATTTTAATTGGATAAAACTTAAATGGATTTAAAATATTTCACATCTTCATCTTTTACCCACACATGCTTTTCGGGTATATAATTGTTCCATATTGGTTATTAGTTGAAATATCATTTCATATTATTATTTTTCAAGCAGTATCACAAATGCTTTCTCCCACGGTTCACCATTGTTTTAAAGGCTTCGCATTCCGCAACTAAACTTCTAGTCCCATATCGTAAGTTAAAATAAGTGATTCTAGTCATTTTTGTCAATTTTGTGCCTAAGTTTTGTTAAAATATATTTGTTTCTTGTCCAAATACTTGTTTTCATACATTATTTTATATCATCCCATGTAGTTATCAGCACATAAGTTCAGTAGACCGTACATGTCGCTTTACTACCGTCAGTTAACTGTCTCGATATATTCTTAAATAAATTATTGGTCACATTTCATAACATAAGTAACAGGAAATTATAAACAAACTTTTTTTTGTTGATATTTATTGTCAAGTACATACATCCAATAGTACCTAGTAATGATTTATATTAACCTGTCGCTGTATAATCAGAATTCTGCTATTATTAGACCATTCCTTAGTGTTTTCGAAGATTTTTCTTAAACCAGAGACAGCTAGCCTCCCACAGTAGAGCGACATAGTGGGTGCGAGTGAGTAATGGTGCCCCCTCCTCCCCGCCCGCCCCCCGTCCGTCCCCGTCGGTGTCCGGTCCCGTCCCGTCGCTCCCTGGTGTTGTAGCCGGCGGCGCCTCAGCTGAGCGCGTTGGATCGTTGCAGAATGATGTGGACGCGCCGTCGCCGGCCGCCTCGGAGCGGCCCTCCGTGCCCTCGCTCACGTCGCTGGAGCAGCCTGGCCTCGGCGTCCCCGTCCCCGCGGCCCCCGCCGCCCCCGCAGCCCCCGCCGCCCCCGCCGCCCCCGCGGCCCGCGTCTGCGGCGACGCCCTCGCTCGGCCGCCGCCCCCGGCCGCGCTCGAGCCGCGCGCATAGCGCCGCGCCCCGTCGCCCCCCGGCCGCCGCGCCGGACCCCAAGCGGAGGCCGCGCCCGCCGGAGCCGCGCGTCGACCTCAACCGGAACCTGCACCGCGACGCGCCCGCCTCCGCCACGCACGCGGACCGCGGCCCGGCGACGTTGAAACTATTGTGATCGTCGATTGCACGTGCACGGGATAGCGGGAGACCCGTTCGGACCTGAACGAGAAATTGTTGTGGCGAAGTCGTGATGAAAATTTAATCTGTGCATTGACGGTGTTCGGTCTGTACGATCCGCATGAAAGAGCTTATTTCATAATGTTAGTCGAGTAGTGATTTTAATGTGTCTATTTTATGATTGTCGCTCGATAACTCTTTTGAGACGTCCTGTCGGGGTTGTCGTATAGAACTATTGTCACGTCCTGCCTCCATATCCGTGCATTCTTAAATTTTTTACATTCCTTAGGGACTGCTACAGTCCAATCTCTCAGGACCATGACAGTTTTCTTACTATTTGAATGATTTAAATTTGTAGCGGATATACCCTTTGTGGCAAATAACTTGTACAGAAGCAGAGATATGAAAGTACCATACATAATCAGCTGTCAACATTTAAAATTTTAATTCATGCGGGAAAAAGTATAATGAACATAAGATACAAGAAACTTGTATTTACTATATTCTTTTTATGTGAAATTTCCAATATTACTGATTCTATTTTCAAAATTCATGTTACGATATAACATTTCGATCCGATCAGTAGGAACGCAGCTGAATTGAATAAGTTGCAAAAACGGTGAAAATGTGATGTTATGTGACGTCGGCGGGTCAGATAATATTATAATAATAATAATACGGTTGATGTAGAATCAGTTATGATCAGTAAGACTATGAAATTATTACTTTCAGGGATTGTCTTAAATCTGTTACACATGATATACCTTATAGAATATATATTTGCAAGTAAGAAAATCGTGGTATATGGTTCTGGGAGTGGACGTTTTTTTAACCAGAATAGTATTAGTAAAGTTTAATACTGTAGTTAGTCCCTATTGCACATGATGCATCTCTCTTCACGTTATACTGGTATAGTAAATAAATTATAATAAAAAAGCGAAAAATAATAAATTACTTGTTAAGAAAATAGATTGATACGATTTTGATGTTATATGTGATTATAAATGTAAGATAAAATTAAAAGAATGTGGTCTGAATTAGAAATCTACGACATGGTTGCAGGTTCTATCCTTTAGTTTCTATCTTGGTTCATAACTTTCTTTTATATTTTCTCTAAATAATATGTGTATGTGGCCATTTTTATATTGTATAACGTCGCCAGTATTTGTACCTAGATAGACAAAGTCGTCTGTTTGAATAAAGCTATTACATTGGTCACATATTGCCAAGCAACTTGTTTGTACGATGTCTTTCGGTTGAAGGGTACTGCAATAAAGCAGTGCAATTACAGAGTATGCGAAGCCATGTATTCGTGATATCATGGACGTAACATGATGACGTATCTATATGGTGTTCATACATGAAGCTGACATCACGCCTCACCATCAGGAGTAGTCCATCACCTCGTCGGTTTGTTTACCAATCCCGTTGAATAAAAAAAGCATATTTGTTTTTGTCTCAATATATTACTGCTATCAAGATACATACTTTTGTATTGTTTTGTTTTGAAGGATGATATAATAGAAATTCGAATCGTGTGTGGTACAATGCTATCTACGTCCACATCTATGTTCATATTGCTGTTTTGAATAGCTATAGAGAACTGTTGACAGTTTTTTATGGTCTAAATCATGTATGCCATTCGAATTCATATATAAAATCAATACAAATGCCTTGTTATAAACGTATGATCAATATAGAAATCGCCATATATAGCTATCAGTACAGTTGGCAACATATAAAAAACAATAATACTGATTAGTAGTCTATTACACATGTAGTCAACTGTACTCGATACATGTGTCATTTGAGAAGAGCTGGTCATAATAGATGTTACATTTAAATATAACCTGCCCCAAGTTAACGAATAATCGGCCCCAAATAAAAATTTTAGACTATACACATTTACTTTTTGTATATAGTGTTAATTTATTCCTTTGAATTTAGTTATTTATTTATTTTTGGAAATATGGAATGGCCATATTTCAGTTAAATTGCTGTTTTCCACTTTTAATGGTTTGATTTAACAAAAATAGACCAGTTTTTCTATTTATGACACAGTATCTAAATATAATTATTTGAAGCGAAATTTCTTAATTTAATTTTATATATACTCAATATTAGCTGACGTATTGGCATGATACGAGTTAAATTATCCTGTATATATAAATTATGATTTTCAGTTCATTAGTCTAGGAAAGTATTGAGATTCTAAAAAAAATGTTAAGTATAATTTAGGTAATTTCCAAATTACAATGTGTTCATTGTATACCTAGTGTTGCTAGTGTAGTAGTTGGTAAGGGAGCGTCCCTTACCCTGAGCTAAGTGGTGTATCGAATCGTGTTCATGTGTCGATAAGAATCAATTGAATCCAATATGTATATCTTTGAAATGAAGATAACGATATGATGTGTTGTCTGTATTATTTCCATTCCTTTAAAATCATTCTTTATTATGATTACTTTGTTTGTGGCAGGTCGCGCCATTATGACTTATTACTTTGTACCTAATATTTCTTTTTTTTTATTGTAATGAACTTGACATGTTAAATGACTGAATGTATTGCAATTTCCTTATGTAAACTAGTTTTTATGTAATGTAACTGTTAGGACGTTCCGAATAATATTCAATTTTGAATTCAGCTTGTATGTCGTTTATTAAACACACATTTTTTCTAACGGTTGTAAATTTTACGTCATATATTCACTGTCAACCAAAGAAAGTAATGCTTGAGTAATTGTCCTGAATTGTTACAACAAACCTGCAATTTCAATCGTTATTTCTATTTTATGTAAGCATTTAAGTTAGTGCTATAATGTACCTTTTCCATCCACTGGCGGGATAGTTTTGATCTGATCCTATAAAACCATTAAAAAAGAAAACATTTTTCGTATTTTTTTTACTTACCTAAAGAAATGGAATTTTTCACGCAATCATTTATGGAATCACTAATTTTAGTTTGCAATAATTATGTCTAATAAATTATTTCTTATTATATGACATTATTTTATAAAATAAAAATTTGGAGATGCCGGGGATCGAACCCGGGGCCTTTCACATGCAAAGCGAACGCTCTACCACTGAGCTACATCCCCTTTTGTAAGTTTCTTAAAAATCGTAACCTCTTAGTATTTATTGACAAAGTTGTAACTTACACAAGGTTAAGTTAAAGAAAAGCCTGAGTATTGCATATTTGATATGTAAAATGATCATATCATATATTATGATATGGTACGCTTAGCAGGTGTGTGCCTCACAAGAGTTATATCTACAATTCTAATTCTATGAAACATTCGCAATGTAAATGCCAGCACTTATTAACTCCCAAAATGAAAGTACATTTACATGATTTAATTAATTGAAAAAAAAGGAGTTATTTTTTCCCATATTTCTAATTGATAATGAATCTTTAAGAATATTCTGTATGTAATCATACAGAATATTCTTAAATATTCGTTCAGGGATCGTTCTATCTTAATAATATTCTAAACCCGAAAGTTTGTAAGATTTTGATGAATTTTACGGTAATATACAGCTTATGCATCAGAATAACACAGGCTATATTTTTATTGACATTTAACGCGGGTGAAACCGCGGGGACAGCTACTATCAAATAATGTTGGTAGGCGAATAATTAAATATTTATTATAAAATGTAATAATGAAATCACCAGTGACTTCGCTTGATTGGTAACATCACATGGTTTACAATAATATTTAGTATTTAACTAAAAAATGCTTAGTGAATTAGTCATTTTAGAAATGTTATTTTATTTATAGAGTATCGTCTGCTGAGGATGGAGCTAGGTCGGCAATTTGTGAGTTGCATTACATATTTTGAATCGATATGGATATAGATATCACAGGGTAGCTAATACTATCGTATTAAATATTTATTATAAAATGTAATAATGAAATCACCAGTGACTTCGCTTGATTGGTAACATCACATGGTTTAGATATCACAGGGTAGCTAATACTATCGTAATAAGGCTACTGTTTCAATAGTAGTAAGGACGGCTCGATTTGGAAGGGAAATTTAATAGAAAAATTGAATGGTAAAATTTGTTTATCATTGCTATATTTGACATATAGACAATTCTACATACTATATTTTAAAATATAGAAGTAAGTAGGCAAATAGAAATAGAAAGTCTTTATTCAAATAATCTTAATGTAAGCAGTTTTGAATAGTCATATTTTTTATTCTACCACTCATTCAGAAAGCAGATTCATCACATTCACATAAGAAGAATGAGCAAGATACCCGCATGTTGACAAAGAAGAAAAAACTTGTATATATTAACATAAACTCAACAGGTAATAGGTTTGTATAAATTGTAATTGTCAATTCAATTTGCTAGTTACATATTAAGACGGTCTTTTGTTTTAAAAATCAATTATTTTTATATTAAAGTAGACTGTAATACGTCATCTGCGTGGGTAACTCAGTCTCCTATTTCTGCCGCGAAGCACTGCTTTTTATTATGTTTCGGTTTCAGGGTTAAATAAGGATTTAATTTACTGTCATGCCTGTTATCTCGTAATTATACATCTTAGTTCTTAGCACGGACGTCACAGGATCACGTAATGGTGCTGTTCTTGTATATATTTGACGGCAGTTAACTTGTTTGCCATTTCAATTACCTATTTAAAAATGCTGTTCCTAAAAATAAAGTTCAGCGAGAGCTATCTTTAAAATCTTTGAACTGATATGTATAGTTTAGTTCTACGTACTTAATCTCGACATTGATCGAATTGACGAAAAAATAATTCTGCTTTTATGCCCTTTTGAATATTTCATTTCTTTTTAGAAAGTTTGTCAGCTAGCGTCGGTATGTCGATTTTCCCATATATGTATCGTTCGGTACATATTTTTTTTTAATTCATTGTTATAGTGCGTAGATACTTTACATCTTATTTACTCTGTTTTTTTTCAAACCACGTAGGTGGCAAACGAGCATACGGCCCATCTGATATTAAACGGTTACCGTAGCTGTGTTAAAATAGAAAAAAATAGTATTTACTTCGGTAAACGTTTATTCAAATTTATATTTAATCTATTATTAATAACAGAGTGATCGATACTTATAGTGAGTAGGGTAGTACCTACCAATGACTATTTCACGGTTTTGTAGATATATGTTAGTATTTGAAGGTGGTAAATAAAAATAATATCTATTTAACGTCAGGTATAATATTTTTATTACATATATTAAGAAATAGTAATACTCTGTACATCATACCCGTAGTGACATGCGGTAACAGTGTTTAACAATGGTTCTTATTCTATTACTAAATTTGACGATATCTTTGGAGAAAAATCAGATGGTATCTATATATTGAATTGTATACAGATATATTTGATGCAGTGGCTTAAATAGGAAAAAAAGAACTTTAAAGATAAAACATGGTAGATATTATAATACGACTATGAATCTCCGCGTGCTTTTTCCATATGCCTATATTTTTTTAAAAATACGCTCTGCGCTCACTATCATTCAGCTAATATCTTATCTATATATATCCATTAATCAGATTTACAAAAAATACTTGTATGTATCTACACGCTTTTTTTTTCACTGTACATATGTACTAGTGCTATTAATACTTAGTTGGCGCGAAATAAGTTACAAACCCTAAAAAATAAAATTCTACATAAATCTCCTTACAATATTTTTTTGTGTCGCATTCTGATGACTAGACAGTTCAATAATAATTCACTAAATACAGATTCAGAAGTCATTTATAAAGAACATACAAGTTAATTCTTGTTTATAATCAATAATTACATTTAGACTACATTTCAGTAGATACCCTTAAAATTAACGTAGTGAAGTGCCACCATCTATGACATAATTACACCCGGTGATGCTGGTAGCCTGGTCACTCGCCAGAAATGCAATCAACGCCGCCACTTCATTGCACTCTACAGCTTTCTTCAATGGCATATTACCCACAACATTCTTGACAAACAAATCTAATTGCTCCTCAGTTAAACCTATATCCTTTAATAAATTTGTCTTCACAAATCCAGGGTTTACGGAGTTCACTCTAACGCCATCTGGCGCCAATTCCAATGCAATGCATTTCGTGAAATGGTCTAATGCAGCTTTCGACATGTTGTACACCAATGACATAGTGCTAGGTTTCGAGCTAGCTAAACAAGAAGTATTTATTATGCATCCTTTACTCTGCACAAGATGTGGAACGGCCAACATAGTTAAATGGAATACAGCTCTAATATTGGTTGACATAATTTTATCATATGATTCCATGTTTGTTTTCTTTATACCACCCATATCAATAATTCCCGCATTGTTGATAAGCACGTCCAGTTTCCCGAAATGCTCTATGGTTTCATCTATAATTCTTTGTGCGTCCGCGTCCTCTGTGACATCAGCCAGTATTACTAGAGGTTTGACATTTTTAGCCTTTTCACAATATAGAGATATCCTTTTTAAATTGTTTTCCTTTCGGCCAACTAGTGCCAATTTTGCTGATAGTTTCGACAAGTGTATAGCTGCTGATGCACCTATTCCGGAGCTTGCACCGGTAATCAATACAACCTTTTCAGTAAATTCCATAATTAAAGTCACTTTACTCACTTGATAACTTATTAGATAAACGTTTAGCGTCCAAGGTTAAACATAAACAGCTGTTTCGAGCGAATGACACGAATTCAATATCGATAATAAGTGGAGAAATAAACAATACTTGCGTGTGTCAAAACTGTCAAACTCGATTTGGCATCAGTGTTGCTTATAGTATAGTTCAGTTTTCTACTAAGAAATTATTTTAAAATCAGATTAAGTGACTTATAAGTTACATTATGAATAGAAAACCCCAATAGAATCTATCGCTGACATAATAAATATTTACAAATCGTACTTACTTAATAGGTACTTTACGTTTTTTTTTATTAATTATAAATATGCAATGGTGCAATTGGCGACAATTGGATGATCATAAATTGGTCAATTAGTTCTTGTAGAGAACTCATCAGGAAATAAACATGATAGTTGACCAGGGATGACCGTGTGGAGGTGGACCTCACATAGTATATTACCAGCATTGGGGGCACTAGTCCCGATTACTAACAATCTGCTTTCCTTAGGTATTCTTATATATCAAGTATACTTGTGAAATAAAAGCTATTCTCTGAAACAACTGAAATGGGTAAGGCGTATAGTAATTTATGTAATATGGTAGTTAATTATACTATGGCAACACTGTTATGCGGGCACGTGACATGAATGAACTACGCATATTTTATAAAGTGCATAACGTTTACCTATCTCATTCTTTTGTTTTTATTATTTATGAGACTATTCTCATAAACCATATAAATAAGATATATAAATAAGAAAAGAATAATTAATCTATTCTCATAAATAATTTAATTAGTAGTATATGTAGGCACACTAATATTTCATTAAGGAATTATTATAATAATTATTAACCATACTTTAGTAGAGTATAACTAAATTCAACTTATTACACACATGTGTATCTATTACCGAACAGAACAATGTAAAAGTAGACAATTTATTTTATTACATTGAATAGAATTTACACGCTCACAAGTATCTTATCAGATTGGCCTAGACAGTAAGTTAAGTACCTAAGTCAAAGCCGTACGTAATCAATATATAAATATACTTTTAATTTCTACCTACGTATTTTATTGCTATACTAATATGTACCTACATAGGTAGGTATATAGGGTACGTTACGCCTGTAATAAAAAAAATCTAGTGTAGGTAAATATCTGTTGACATATAGTTGTTGAAAATAAATAATCTTTCAATTTTCTCGTACTTGAACTGGGGAATCTACGAGTATTTAGTTATGTATTTGCATTCGGAGAAACTACAAATTAACATAGACAATTGATACAGGAAAGAGCATTTTTAGATTTGTTTGTTGTATATTTCAAATTTATTATTGAACCACAAAACTTACAATAAAATATATAATACTTATAATATACTACAAAACCACACAAAAAGTATGTTTTATGCGATTGTTTTCTATCGCGAATGAAATCTTTCGCGTTATATTAGGAATATCTATACTTATACTATATTTTAATACAACAAATAGGTAAGGACATAGTACTTATCTACTCACCGATGCTGTACAAGTCGTTTGCTTTGCTATTCATCCAGCAAGTAGCTTATTTTATTAGCTGTTTGAAGGGTGAGATAAAGTCGTGACACATTAGTTCTCCGGAATGAGGGTACTACCGTATTACTGGCATCATAACGTGATGACGCACATGTATCAAAATCTTTTTTTATGTATCTAAATGTACCTAATGGTAATTCAAGAGATCGGTCACTTGGTAGTATGTGCCAAACATTTAAAAACCCAAGAATTAGATGTTGTTAAAATTCTACTGCTATGTAATACAACAACAAAAGGTAGCATGTATAACCTATGAATACAACATCTAATGCTCCACACGCATGCAGAATTCCCGAGATTAGACCAGCTATATTTCACGTGTCTTCCAGCTCTCAGACATCATACTATAACATAAATGGGAAAGTTTGTAAAGGTTGCTTCTTTTTTATGCATAAACTACTGCATAGACTTGTATGATATTTGATATAAGTACTGCTACATCATATAACATATTTACAAGTAAGATTTAATTAACAAATTAACGGTGGCAACAATGCGATTTGCATCATAGGTACTGTTATAGTAAATTCAACGACTGATAAAAAATTCTGTAACTAAGGACTTTTAATACGAAATTCTATTTACCACTTTTAATCATGTCTTTGTTAGGTAGGGTATAATATATGGTTAATGCGACAATACCCACATGACTTACTAAATCATACGATATCAGTTTGTAGGGCAAGCCATTCGTCTTAGGAGCACATTTACATATAAAACATGCCTATATATCAATTCGGCCACGAATGCAATTTGTGAATGGTGCCCATAAATAACTATTTCCCGTTCGACATGGCGACCCTTCGTTTATGCGGGCAACATTGCTCTATGTTTTCCTGCCATTATTTGACAGATGCGTTCCGAATTTGAAAGCTGGAAGGATTTTTCAAACGGGCCCAACCCGCTCAAATCAACCGTAAAATTCAATTGTACTACAATAAATTTGGTCGCTTTGAAAAATGTTTCGGTTTCTTTTTACAGGGTTTATGTAAGTCGTAAATATTTTTGGCTGTACCTAGTAGGTATAAATTTTAATACAGCACTTTGGTTGTTGTGTTTTCATTTATTTAGTTGTAGGTACGCGATGAATTTACAGATTTCTTAAATAACTAAGTAGGTACTTAAATACAACGCAAAACGCTAATTTAAAATGTAGTTTGTAAAATGTAGTTTAAAATTAATATGGAAAGTGGTTTTTTATCAGTAGGTACATTACACTACATTTTATCCAAACGTTAACCGATCCAGAACGGAACTAATACAGGTTATTGGTTCTTCGAACTACTTATTACATAATTATGTCATTAGTTTTCTCACTATTTTTTTAGATTATTATGTGACACGCGTGACACTATCATGTGTTGCCATTGTTTTAAGGAACAATATGTCATGTCTCCAAATCCTGTAATTTCACTGACTTATCTCATCTTTTAACAGAAACACTTTTTATGATGTTATGCTCCAACGTTTTGGTGGCTGAATTGGAGATTCAAAGCTTTGACTCTCACAGCGAGTCTTTATAAAGTTTACGTCAGAAACCTTTTAATTTTAATCACTCTTTTTAATCTTTTTATAGTAGAATATTCTAGAAAATAGAACCAGGAAAGTTACATAAAATTACAGCAATTCGTCTCGTCTCGTTCGAGCGCAATGTGTCTGAACCGCGTAACGTGTGTATCGGTACATAAAAGATTCAGTTTTATGTGCGCGCGCGAGGCATGGCGCTGTTACGTGGATCTATAGCTGGTAGCCGCTGATCTATCGACCAATCCGCCGATTGAATGTACTGCGGATAATGAATGGAAGCTTTACACCAACATTCGGTGCTGCTAGATTACTTGGTTCGATCTCAAGATGGCATCAGGCACGGTTGCGTAGTTCTTCCTCTCCAATTATGCCTCTAATCGTCTAATTGTACCAATATTTCAGGCGTCTGGTCATTGTCTAATGGCATTATGTAATGCTTTTACTAACAAAATATCTATATAAATAAAATATACTAGTTATTACCTATACAATATATATTATTCCATGCTATTCATGCTCCCCCTACCACTTTTGTTGTTTTTTCTCTATCTAAAGGTTGTCTGGAAGAGATTGCTTCTTGCGATCAGACCACCTTTTGGCTCTATATCTCTTTTTTGTACAATTCTTGTGCTTGCTTGGTACAACAAAACCTTTATAAATAGATAGTGAATTGAATTATATTATTCAAACTGGTTTGTGATAACTACTAATAATATAAAGAATCGTCAGTAATTAAAAGTAAGAAGTGGTATTTTTCTCAATTCCACCGCGATCCAATAAAGAAATGCAAATGAGCCGCTAAGAATTATTGCATTGAAGATACGGGACGCTTCCGTGTCGATAGTCGGGGAATTGTCGATAAAGAAAAACGTATATTTATGTGATTAGTCAACAGCAATATAAAAAAAATATTATTAAGTTATTAAGTGAAACTTGTAGTTGATTTTTTTTTCATTTGTGTTGCCATTAGCCATCTTGCTTAATTCTTCTTAAAATCTGATTCAAATTCTTGCCTAAATTAGGGTTATTTATCTACTTTCCACACACACACACTTTATATGTAATTACAAAAAAATCATGACTAATCCCGTTTTTTTTTATTATTTTGATGCTGTTCGCCACAGTTTGCCTTTATACCTTGCAAATCCTTCTAGTATAAAACTTGAAAGATTGTGAGAAAGTATGTAGTTATGAACCTATTTTACGCAATTCTGTAGAGTACTAACTAGTACTCTACAGAATTGAATAAAATTTGATGCACAGATAGAAGATAATTATTATTTTACATTTCAATATAGATACGTATTCACGCTAGGAGCGCCGTGGGATTCAGCTATAATAATAACCCTGGACAATTCACACAGCGTTATTTAGTCTCAAGCTTCGCAGAGCATGTGTAGTAGTTTAGTACCAACAGGTACTAAACAAATACAAATATTTTTATAATTAATATAATTTTGTTTAAATACGTACATATATAATATGCATACAAAAACCTTGACCAATACAACAATTATACTCATGAATATTGAACGCATATACCGTGCGAGGAGTCGAACTCCCGGCCATCGGAAGTAAGATGATGTGCTAAACCGCTAGACCACTACCTATATTTGTATCATTTCAAACAGTACCTAATTAAAATTAGTGCAATATTGTATCGGTAACTTTAAAATAATCTAAAAAATTAAGTACCAATTAGTGATGTTCGACAAAGTTGTCGATAACTTGTCACGTCTACAACTATCTCTGCCCGCGCCCCCTAGCGGACTGTAAAAAAGTTTTTATTGTTAATTCCCAGCCGGGCATTATGCGTTTGCACTTATTCTACATTTTACTGCCTCCATTGCTCGTTGTCAATCTGTTTGTAAATGAACTTCCCCGTTTGTTTTACTATCAACGGCGTGTTTATTTTGTTTTGTGGTTCTTTTTGATTAGGTAACATTTCTTATTCATGGATATATCGTAAAGTTCTTTTTGTAGCTGTTTCAAATGTTTATGTTGCTGTTAGT